AACGAGTGTCTCGGTTCTGTCGTTGAAAACTACGAGAGTCTGGGTCTCGCGTTTGTGCTGATCACCCTTGTACTCATGCACTTTATTGAGTGCGAGAGTTCGGTGTTCTTCGGTGCCCAGGGCTCCATGCTCCACGGTCATGGTCATGCTCACGGTGAGGCGCTCGTACAAGAAGCTGTTATTACTCCTGAAGGCGCAATGACCCCACGACCGGCTGACCACCCTTATCACGATAAGTCTCTGGACCAAAGTGAAGTAAACTCCAAGATCCGCCGCAAAATCGCTACGCTTATCTTTGAAGCTGGCGTTATCTTCCACTCCATCATCATCGGTCTTGACCTGGGAGTCACTACTGGTTCCGAGTTCAAGACTCTTCTGGCGGCGCTGTGTTTCCACCAGTTCTTCGAGGGTGTCGCTATCGGCACGTCTGCTCTCAGCTCGCTTGAGAGTAAGGGGAAACTCTTAATGGTCAACTTCGCCTTTGCCATCACGACGCCTGTTGGTCAGGTCATTGGCATTGCCATCCGTAGCACGTACTCGGACTCGTCCACCACTGCTCTGTGGGTACAGGGCATTCTCAACTGCGTTGCTGGTGGCATTCTGCTGTACACGGGACTGGTGGAGCTACTGACGTACAATATGACCACGAACGGCCAGTTCCTGTCGCGTCCGGCGGCGCAGCGTTTTGCGTTATACATTTCTCTGTGGTTGGGTGCTGGTTTGATGGCGCTCATCGGCAAGTGGGCGTAAGTAGTTGTAAAGTCTAAGCGAACCTACAAGTGAATGAAGTATTTAGTTACTGCGTCCTTGCAAGCAGCTAACCATTATCCGTATTGTACCGACCGAAAAGCATGATCTTTTGAGATCTTTTGACATAAAAAAACAGTGGAGTATCTTCGTCTACAGGTTACACGTTAAGTATGCTCCTCCCATAGCGCGTTACAACCAGCTAAGTGAACACCAGACACGCTCCCCTGTTCATTTTCGCTGAGATTTTTTCTGATCCTTTGGTGACGGTTTGATCGGTAAGTATCAGATCTTCTGACCCCCCCCCCCCACCACCAATCAGACAGGAATACTTAGCGGATTTGACGGTATGGAGGAGGTGCAGACATCGCGCGCACCGAGTCTGGCCGCCGCTGTCGCGTGCTGGGCTATACTTTGGACGTTTATCCTGAATGTCGTACCAGCGGGTGTTAAGGGCCGCAACCACATCATCACGCTGAACGCAGCGCACGGCGTCGTGTCCACGATCTCTTCCACGATTACGCTCTACTATGGGCTGGACACGACCATCTCGGTGGCCGTCTCACTCTCATTCTTCCTCGTGGATCTCGCTGCTATGGTTTATTCGGACGGAGTGAAAAACCTCCTCTCGCTCAGACAATCGCGACTAATGGACTACGGCCATCACGTCTTCGGTCTATACTGGGGTGTGTTGCTCTTTGTGAACGAACCTACTGTGTGTGATGTATCGTTCGGTAACCCGTACGTCTGGATACAAACGAACGAGGTGAGCACGGGCTTCTACAACTGGTACCGACTCACGGACAGTACTGTGGCGGGAGCCTTGTTTGCCAGCTCCTTCTTCTTGTCCCGAGTGGTGTTTAATACTGTCTACATCATTCCGAGGGTGGCCAAGCAGTGTCAGCCACTGTACGTGCTGGGCTGCTCGCCGTTCTTCATGTTGCAATACGCCTGGTTCTATATGATCGCACGCAAGCTGGTTCCGAGTGCACCTCAGGGCGAGCAAACAAAGGGCACACCGACCACAGGCGAGCGTCGCGCGGAGACAGAGACTAAGAAGGACGCCTAATGAGGATTGCGACCGTCAGCAGGGAGAGATTCGTGTGCTATAGACTCTGAACAAGAATTGATTGTCCATATGACCCAATCGCCATTACGTGCCCCCCCCCCCCCCCGCATTGCACTGGTGCTCTTCGTTATTGTCTTCTTCCGAAGCGCTTGCTTACCCATTGGGCTGATTAGCTTAGCTGAGACGCGAGTGATCTAGACAGAGAAAACGGCCCCGGATTCTTTTTTTTTTTGCTGTCAAGAATGGAGATGCAATCCATGGGTGCAGCTATACTAAGTGTGATGAAATGTGAAATACCAGTGCTATTCAACCACTACCGAACCGAATCTGTCTCAGCAAAGGGAGGTTCAAAAGGGAAGAACGTGTGATTTCTACAATACTAGTCGGATTCCGTGGACGTTGGTTATCCAAGTTTTTCGCTAAAGAATTTTGCGAAGTTGGGATCAACATTAGCTATGGCAAACAACAACACGGAGTAAGAAAATTTGGGGTGAATAGTTTGATCGACTACCAAACTGTGGGCAAAATTTGAATTGAATGGGGATCATTTTCCGAAGAACTGTGGAATGACTGCTTGACGGTAAAGTGAAGTACAAAACCTTCCTGTCGTCTGTACTGTAAGCTTTTCATGTTTACACGGCCCGGTGTGTGCGTTTTTATCATTGACCTCCCATGTACTACGAGTAAAGAAGCCAGAGCAGCAATATCCTGCAAGTACATGACTTCCTTTCTCGTAGATTTCTGGACAGCGGTAGTGCTAACGGCTTCATTCCTCCTGGAGTGGATGAAGTGACGTGCAGAATCCCATCAGTACGTTTGCCTTCGTCTGGTCTCGCCGCTGCATGGTCAATGACCCTGTCATTGACAGGTGTTGTGTTTTCTAATTACGACGAAAACATGCCAGTGGATGAACCCTCGTGCTGTAGGCGACGTAACGCATACACGCCCGCGGTACAAATATTCCTGCATGATAACCTGTCACTGAATCAGTGATACTAATAAATACATGTACAAGACATGCACTTGTCCGGCGGCGGAGCGGGTGAGACGTGGTGTCCTGTGCCGACGGCGCCTGACAGGTTTCTACGAGTGGCCTCTGCTCATGAACCCACAAATGCAGAGTGCCATCGAATGGCGAAAAAGGCCCCAAACCTCACTCACTTTCCCATTTGCGCTCCAACATTCACTACATCCCTGACCACGAGATCAGCTCACCAGCTCACCACCACCATGGCCGAAGAAACCTGCTGCGGGTGCGTCACGCTCGATGGGGACACTGAGTACGACATGGGGCTACATATTGGCTCCATCTTCATCATTTTCGTCGTGTCCGCGGCCGGAACTATGATCCCTATCATCTCGCAGAAGATCCCTCAGTGTAAGGCCAACTCGGTCATCATGGAGGCTGTTAGCGCCTTCGCCTACGGAGTTGTCCTGGCCACAGGTCTCATCCACATGATCAACGAAGGCATTGAGAAGCTGAGCAACGAGTGTCTCGGTTCTGTCGTTGAAAACTACGAGAGTCTGGGTCTCGCGTTTGTACTGATCACCCTTGTACTCATGCACTTTATTGAGTGCGAGAGTTCGGTGTTCTTCGGTGCCCAGGGCTCCATGCTCCACGGTCATGGTCACGCTCACGGAGAAATTACCGCACAAGAGGCTGTAATTACCCCAGCTGATCGAGAAACTCCGAAGCCTACGGAGAATCCGTACCACGAAAATGCTGTCGACCAAAATGAACAAAACTCCAAGATCCGCCGCAAAATCGCTACGCTTATCTTTGAAGCTGGCGTTGTCTTCCATTCAGTGATTATCGGCCTCGATCTCGGCGTCACTACTGGGTCAGAGTTCAAAACTCTTCTGGCTGCTCTGTGCTTCCACCAGTTCTTTGAAGGCATCGCTATCGGTAGCTCGGCACTCAGCTCACTCGAAAGTACGAGCAAGCTCTTCATGGTCAACTTCATCTTCGCTATTACCACTCCCATAGGCCAAGTCATCGGCATTGGCATCCGTAGCACATACTCTGATTCATCGACGACTTCTCTGTGGGTTCAGGGCATTCTCAACTGCGTTGCTGGTGGCATTCTGCTGTACACGGGACTGGTGGAGCTGCTGACGTACAACATGACCACGAACGGCCAGTTCCTGTCGCGTCAGACGGCCCAGCGCTTTGCTTTGTACATTTCTCTGTGGCTGGGTGCTGGTTTGATGGCGCTCATCGGCAAGTGGGCGTAAGTTAGCCACCCAAACGTGACGACGTTGAAACCTCTTTCAGTTGACTTCGGCAGGATTAATCAGCATTTTATCCAAGATGGTAACGCAAAAGTACACGCTGCAAAAAAATCTACATGTAGTTCACGGTTTGCGATATTTGTTTTATGATACGATGAACTCGCAGAAAAAAGAGCTCCAGGCATGGTTGGAGTGCCACGTGCGCATTCTCCACAATTAGCTTGTAATCCTGTAGACTACGATGACTTTCACAAATTGCCAAGTCTAAACCCCGCTTCAGCGGATTCCGTACATATACTTCAAATGAGTACTAGCACTAGCTCAACCAGGATAATTTGCAACTTACAGATGAACACCTTAATCCAAACAAACGCGCGCTACTGGCCGCATTCGAATGGTTGTTTTTATCGCCACTACATGTAGAACCAATTCCGCCGTCGGAAAAATGGCATGATATGTCATTTCGCTAGGCGATAATGCAACACCAACGTGAGACGGGGGCTGTTCTGCTAACAGCCGCAACAGCCTGATCGCATTCGTGAGACCACTACAAGTATTCGTAGCAAGAATTGTTAGTTCAATCTCAAATGGCTAATGCGATGCCTGGATGAAAAGTGGTGGTTAAGCGGCGATCTGTGGCGATGCCTCTGCAAAAAGTTGCTACCGGTGGCCGACATTTTTCTTCTTGAATCTCAAAATGTGTTTACGATGAGTACTGAACCAAGACGTTCCCATCTACCTAAGCGTGATGCTCAAGCATCCCGCAGCTTCATTTCATCTAGCCATGGTATCGGCACTCGCCACTTGCATCCTCGTATGAACATTTACGATCGGTGCACCTTGGCGAGATCCCATTCCATCACAGGTTCATTCTCGCGAGCAGTCAGGATCTCGTAACCGGTCTCAGTCACAAGGAATGTATGTTCGAACTGTGCCGAGCGCTGACCATCCTGCGTCACGGCCGTCCAGTCGTCCGGCCACGTTTTGTCACGCCACGTGCCCATGTTGATCATAGGCTCGATGGTGAAGATCATACCGGGCTTCATGATGCCGACAGCCTTGTTCTTCGCGTAGTGAGGGACATTCGGCGCACAGTGGAAGAGCGAGCCGATGCCATGACCGCAATACGTCTTGACAACCGAGAAGTCCTGAGCATTGGCCACAGCCGCGATGTGCTTACCCAGCTCACGGAACATTGTGCCAGGACGAATGAGCTTGGAGGCCACCGCCAGACTCTCAAACGCCGTCTTGACCAGCCTCACACCGTCCTCGTCCACGTTGCCAACCAGGAACGTGTCGTTCAGGTCTCCGTGGTAGCCATTCTTGTATACTGTCACATCCAGATTGACAATATCTCCGTCCTCAATGGGACGCGAGTCCGGAATACCGTGGCAAATAACCTCGTTCACTGAAACGCAGACCGACTTGGGGAAGTGGTAGTAATTGAGTGGCGACGGATAGCACTCCCGTTCCATGCAGGCTTGATGCACGATTTTGTCGATCTCATCACCGGTAATACCGGGACGTAGCGCCTTACCGGCAATGTCTAGCACCTCACGACCAAGACGGCATGCCTCACGAATACCAGCGATCTGTTCTGGCGTGTAGATGGGGATGGCCTTGCTGGCCTGCTGCTCCGACACAGGGATGCCCGTCTCGGCGTAGTCCGGACGCTGGATGTGCTCAGGTACGGTGCTCATCTCTGAGATCTTGCCGGGTCGCAGTTTACCCGTGAACTCGAAGCCGTCGAAGGGCGACGCGTGCTCATTGCGGGCCTGTTCCTCGGCTATTGCCTGTGTGAACATCTTGTGCAGCGCCTTGTGCGAGGACCAGTAACCCTTGAAGCACTCCTGCGAGCAGAATGTGCTCATGGCCGGCGGGATGCCCAGCTTCTTGCATGTCGGACATATGAGTGAGCCGCTCTTGCCGCACGTCGGGGTCACACATGGAGCACCTCCCATCTTGCCTGACTTGCGAGGTCTACCTTGTCGAATGGCTGTCACACAAAAAACTGCTATACAAACCCAATGTCGTGTGTACACATAACCAAGAGAGTGATGGTCCCATTGAAGGAGCGAGAAGTCGCCAATGCGAACCTATGTCCCATTATTTAGAGGTGGCTACGCCTGACGGAGGCGAAAACATGGCAGAACTACAGGATACGGTGGAGAAGGTGTGCCGCCTTGAGGATATTTGAGTTGGTTGCGGTGGTGTAATTATGGTATGGTGTAACACAGTCGGAACGAGCACAAGAAGACAGCATTCACGTCGCCGACAGCCCTAACAAATGTAATTGATTTTTTTTTATAGTTATTTATTACGCTTATAATGTTTTGGAGCTGATTGGGTCTAGATGAGAATGTGTCCAGATTCAACGCAAGCACCATTAGCGCTCGCAGTGGTAACTTCGGTAAGGGGGCGGAGGTGGGGCGATCGGTGGCGCAGATATATGAACCAACGCTTCAAGAGCGAGCTCACACGCTGCTAGCTGGGCCGTACGGATTGGCGCTGGAGATCATAAATTTCGCTCTGAGCATGCTTATCTTCTTCGCGTACATTGCTGAGCTCTACGACAAGGACATTTACTATTCCCACTCTCGCTTTGCGGTTGAGGTGATCGCGACGTCCTTCTTCATTTTCGACTTTGGGCTGCACCTTTTTGTCGCCAACGATCCTTGGAAATACGTCTTCTCTGGGCACGGAATGATCGATCTTGTCACGATTATTCCATCCCTAATTGTGGTAAGTCGAGTATAGTTGGTATCCGCATGTATCGAAGAATTGATTTCTTTTGCAGTTCGTTGACCCAGGGACTCGATCAAATCTGATGTTTGTCTTCCGAGTACTTCGCATCTTCCGTATTCTACGTGTTTTGCGACTGGCTCGTTACATCAGGTTCAAGAAACACGGATTTGAGTACGAGGTGAGACTAATTTCATTGCCGGCAAATAAACTTTATTGCTTTAGCCGATGTCAGCCGAGTAAACTCATGAAATTCGTGTACCCAGCTTGGAGTCTTCATTCTATCGACAATTGCCGTTATTCTATGCGCGGCTGGGATCTACCAAGCACTAGAGTCAGATGAGTACGATGAAGACGATAAACTGGAGTTTCACGACTCGCTATACTTCGTTTTGGTAACGGTATCGACTATAGGCAAGCATAATAATTTATATGCTAGGGGAATTGCTAGCTAAATCACCTGTACGTGTGGTCACAGGCTACGGAGATATCACCCCGCGCACTCTTCTGGGGCACATGTTCGTGATTGTTGCCATTATTGCCATTTTCACGATTGTTCCAGCCGAAGTCAACAAACTCAACGCGCTTGCCAAACTAAGCAACCCGTGGGATAAAGAAGTCGTGGTCAAGTCGTCCGGACACGTCATCGTATCGGGATACAATCTCTCGGCTAGCACTGTACTCGAGTTCCTTCAAGAATTTTATCATCCTAGTCGTGGATCTATTCATTTGGATGTGGTGTTCATCAGCGACGAACCCCCATCGCCCGAGGTGCTTTGCGTTCTTGAAAAGCAAAAATACCGACGAAGAACTAGCTATCTACGAGGAAGTTTAATGAAGGAGCGGGACCAATGTCGAGTTAAAATGGCAACTGCGACTGCAGTCTTTTTCTTAGCCAACAATCGGAATGAACCAGCCCAACAAGATGCAGCAACGATTCTGCACGCAGTCTCTATACGAAATTATGCAGATACTTGTGGGAAGCACGTGGATATTTACATTCAGTTGCTATCACGTGTGTACGAATACGAAATGTCGTCAGCGCTACTAGGTGCAAACGCTACAAAAACGTCTGCGTTGAAGGATATGCTACTTGCTCGAGCCGCAGTGTGTCCAGGATCCAGTACACTGATCTTGAATTTAATTCGCTCGTATCATATAGGACAGTACGCTAAGCGGCGAAAATGGGACAAAGGATGGATTCACGAGGTACGTAGTTAATCACAGGAACTCCAAACTGTCGTCATTTATGATATTGCTATTGCTGTTCACAGTACTTGGACGGATTGACATATCAAGTATTCCCTATCATGTTTTCGTCCCGCTTCGACAACCGTAAATTCGGTGTCGTAGCTCGACACATCTACGAGAAATATGGAGCACTACTCATTGCAACCTTCAGCCGTAGTGGTTGCGAAGGAATGCACGGCGGTACAGTTTATCTCGCTCCTTTTGACTCAATTATTAGTGAAGGGTAAGCGATCGTCCGTACCTAGATTATTATTGTTAAAGTCTCGCATTAACAAACTTGTATCTGTCCAACAGGGATATTAGTTTTGTAATTGCTAGAACAGCCTCGGACGTTATTCATATTGTTAATTCGTATGGATACTGGGAGAATGAATCTGAAGAAGACCTCAGATCATCTGCAAGTTTATTAACATCCCCCGTACGAATATCATCGGACTCTCTTTGGCGGCGATCACCTCGCCATCTTTTTCATCCAATGATGAAATCAGCATCTGTCCGTAATATTCGTTTTGAGCTGGGAGATCAAGTCGAAGATTATGAATGGAGAAACCCTGCAGCAAGAGTGGAAGCTTCTATTAGCGACACTTTAGCCAAGAACTGCGATGTTCTAACCGCTGCGTTGACTACTGATACAAAAGCAAGCTCTCCAATTCGAGTTAACCGTGTCCAGTCCACACCATCGGTCACAAATTCGTCTTCTCACGGAAGCCCATTGTATACAGCTATCCGATCCAAAGACGTCGACAGAATTGAAGCAGCTTTCCAGCGAGATCACTTAAGATCGAGCGTAAAGGGACTGTCGGGTCATTACGTCATTTGCTCGAGGAGCTTGTCAGACGCAGTCTCAATCTCCAGTCTTCTTCGGAGATATGCTCAACAGGAATGCCAACGTAACTCACATGAACGGCAAACCGACGAAGCACATATCGTGTTCTTGATGGCATACAGACCAACAGCTAAGGATCTACTGATGGTGGCGGAAAAGAGCACAGCAAATTTACTACGAGGTATAATTATTGTGGTTGGGAGCCCAGCTCGAATCAACGATCTATTACGTGTTGAGGCATCAAAGGCTCTGCAAGTTGTGATCCTGCCACTAGACAAAAGCGTATCGAGAGAAACAGACCAATTTACATCCAATTATGAAGTATCTGAGTTCGGACTGAGTGGGCAAAATACTTGGACAGACGACGAGCGCCTGGCTGACTTTGGTGTTGTTTGCTCTTTACTAGCAGTTGAGCAAACGAACCAGGGCCATTCCAGACCAGTTTCGCCTAGAAATCGACATCGGAAGAGCAGCCGACAAGAAAGCGATTGTGAGTCTTCACCCACTGCTAATACCACGTTCAAGCGTGAGTTGGAACAAGGGATTCCATTGGAGAGCGTAAAACTACGAGCGTTGGGACGATTTCCTGGTCTAGACCCTGGTATCTTTCGTGAAAAGTCCGATGTTATTGATGATGTATTGCAGCAATTCGACAACCAGGCTATAAAAGCTGAGCGGAAATTCACCGCTGCTGGCTCAAGCGCAGCCAGCAGAAATACGCTTTCGGTGTTACACTACGCTTGCAATGCAAAGCTATGCCGCCCGTGCGATGAAGCGGTGCAGGACGAATTTCCGTCTCTGACTCCATCTTTTGCCGGGGGAAACGTTTTCCTATCAAGCCTCCTTAATCGAATTGTCTGTCAAGCTTTCTACAATCCCTACATCATGGAAGTGACTGAAGCTCTAGCAAACGGAAGCGGTTCACTGGATTTCAAGAAGAACACTGATGATTTTCCAACCATCGGAAGCAGCAGTGATAGTCCACACCGTCGACTTTTTGATGAGGAAATCGACAACGAATTCGTTGGTGAAGCTTTCATCGATGTTTTTCTCAACTACATTTCAAAAGAAATGCTCGTTATCGGTGTCATGCGATCGACCTGCCCGGAGCTAGACAATCTACTTCCATTTGTATACACTTGCCCTCCATCGTCATTAATTATGCACTCGAAGGATCGGTTATTCGTTCTCGGTTGAAGAATTTGTTGATAGAAAAACCTATTGTACGAAGTAAACGTGAAAGGCTATAATTCGTCAAGAAATAGCGCTCCCTTCCTGGTTATCTTTTCCTCGTAGCTGCAGCTCGCGACCCAGGTTTTGGAGCTGGCGTTCGCTTTGCTCCACCCTTGATATTATCACGTTGAGACTTTTCTCGGCAGAAATTGATATGGCGCTCGGCAGCTTTTTCATTGAAGCGACGACTGCAATACTCGCACTGGATCAGACTCGGGTCAGGGGCAGACGGCATCACTGGCGGTAGCTCCTTGCCTTCCTTTAGCGCCTTGGATACATCTCGACTAGCCTTCATGGCATTGCGAAACATTTCGCTTTTTTGCTTCCAATCTGCAACGCTTTTCACCTTAATTGGCTGCTCCGTTGCTGACAAGGGGGCTTTCCGAGTTATGCCCTTGGTTTTAGCCTTCGCTTCCTTCGCTAACTTTTCTGCTTCTGTTCCTTCGAGCCGCTTGGCTGCCATGTTGAAAACCTTGCGGTGTCCAGAGAAAACCTTTTCGCAGATTTTCTGGTGCTTCTGTAGTGATGCGACGTTGAATTTCCGGCTACAGTTATGACATTGTTCCATTTGTTCCGAGCCGTCTCCGTTTTCGTCCTGCAGTGATTATAGTTGTATACATGAAATGCTGAAGCAAAATAGAAAAGAAATAATGTGAAGTCTTACGAGTTCTTCGGACAGATTGAATCCCGTGGAGATCGGAGCAGGATAGCGGGTATCTGCGGTAAAGTCTTCATCAACATTGCCAAGGGGTGATTTACGCTTGGTAGGTGGAGCTGGGACGTCCTGAGCTGGAGTTCGTCGTGGTGCAACTGGCTGTCTTGGTTGTGGACTCGGTGTATCTCGGGACATGGAGGTTGATGATGGGAAGCGTGCTGAGTGAATAACAGCACTGGGCGTGTTTTTCTCTACAAACAAAGAGGCCTGGTTCGTCGGCGCACTCCGCGCTTTCCGACGAGACATCTTGGACTTGAGGAGCATCAATGAGTTCTGACAATTAAAGAAAACATTAGCAAGTAGAGAGATTCATTCTGTGCTATCAGGTTACATACCCCCATCTCACTTTGCGACGCCATCACGACATTTTCTCGATATGGATCTGTTGATGGCACAGATTTGGGCTCCCTACGGCGGATAGGAGCTTCTTGGGCATCAGCACTGCTCAAGTTACTTGAGGCAACGCCACCACCTCCACATTTCGGGCATCCACAACTTGAATTCCGCAAACACGGTCCGTTGTGGTTTCCTGTTCGTGGTGGTGCCAATGTTTTCTTAATAGGGAGATCTTCGATCTCTCGTCCTGTCGCTCGCTTCACTTCTCGGAACAAAGTGTCATGCTCTACGTCAATTCATTAGCATCACATCAATTGGCAGAGTTCACTAACTAGGCACGTTTGCATACCTGGCTCGAGCGGCATAACGTGCAATGCTGCCATCTGCTGCGGTGTTGTCGGTGCCTTTTTTGGGTATCTGCGCGATAGGTTATCGAGCGCGTCGCTTCCGTCTTCTTTGTCCTGATGGTTGTTACTGTGACTGTAGTTCCGGTAGGCCATACTGTCCGATTTAGAAGCTTGATCAGGCTCTTCACGGGAACCCGGCGGCGTTGGATGAGCTCGAGCCCTCGAGTTTACTCTTGGTAATGACATTTAGGCAAATACTTCAATAGAACCGCTAGAAAAACTTTGGTTTTAGTGTCGAAAGAGACGTACTTTGGGGAAAATGTATGCTCGTCGGAGAAAATACCGCGCTGCCGTTGCTCACGAATTTCTTTTGCTCGTTCCTTTTTCTCTTGTTGCCGCTTGGCATAATCCGTCGGGTCACAGCGTAAGCGAGTAGCAGACTGCTGCATTAAGGTCTACAGCAAAGGAGCCTACGGCAGTCAAGCTGGAATAAAGGGACACAATACAGAATTCGTTCGAGAGGAAGCAGAGTAGAATCGAGATGAATACAGGTGTGCTCAGCGCGATACTGTCGTTTTCTTCCGCTGTTTTAGTTCCGACGCTGCACAACGATCTTCAAAGGTCAGATATACCTATTGATATCACTCCGTTATCCGCCACCTCATCATATTAGGTGAAAAAGTACATTTCGCTGCTTAGTTAGTGGGGCGTGTCGTGAGCAGCTCTCCAACTACCTCGCGAACCCACGGCTGTGTGAACTGCTGGGGACGTGGGATGTTGAACTCATCTAGCCCGGTTTCGGCGGCTAAAATCTGTACACATCAAACGAATTAGAGCGATAATGGGGGGCCAACAAGTACAAATGCCACAAACCTCCTCGTCAGCGAGCTGAGACTTCTTGACGTCTGCCATGAAGCCGCACGGATCTTCAGCAAACTGGGTCATCCATTCTTTCTTCCTCGTGTACATTTGCAGACGCTCTAGAATGTCCAATTCCTGTTCTTTAAGCAACGTCAGCTCCTTTTTCTGGTCTTGTTGAAGTTCCTCGCACTCCTTCAGTGCATGAGCACGAGATTTATCAAGCTCGGACGTTGCTGCTACGGAGATATCGAAGAACTTTTCATCCAGTAGTTCGGATTCACAGGCTGTCGACAGACTCAGTGTGTACTCGAGATTGATACGGTTGATAGGCGTCAGATGCTGCTTGAGTGCCACGACAATCGACGTGAAGGGCAACGACACGCAGTTGAGCACCTTCAACAGCCTGTCATCGCACTGAACCACCCGGCAGTCGTCCGCCTTGATGAGGTTGCGCAGCTTGATGTATTCCCACATGGCCAGCACGATATCCTGCTTGGTGTATGCTTTGGCGGGACCCAAGTATTGACCAATTGCTGCTTCCAACTCAGGCGAAATGGTGAACCGCTCAGGCGTTTGGGCTGGTAGCAGCTTGATTTTCACTGTGTGGGCCGTGCTTCCAGTCCGCGACACTTCAATCCCGTCCACGTCATGACTCGTCTTTTGAAAGCTTGTCCACTGATGCAAGGAATTGTCAACAAAAAATCTAAAATAATATGCAAAACTCACCTCAATCACGTGGTCCGAGTACAGATGCGGGTCCAGCTCGATGGACGCCTTCCTGAAGTAGCTCGAGAATTTCTACAGCGTTGACAGACATCGTTAATTGGTCGGTACAGGCTAGAGACTACAGCTCGCCACAACTCACCACGATTGTAGGTTCGCCTGCTGCTGCGTCGATGCCTTCGATCTTGAGCGTCCACCTGCCAGGCGTTGCCGGTGTGTTCTCTGCGGCCTCTACGGGTGGGATGTACGTGTGATACACGCGCACACGTAGCTGTTTGGTCTCCGTCTGCAGCGGATAGTAGCGCTCTCCACGCAGCTCACGCGCCATGGCTTGTAGACGCGAAGTGAGTTGCTGATGTGCGACCAGTGTGCGCTTCAGCAGATCGATTTCGCGCTGACATTGCCACTCGCCATGGAGGAGTTCCTGTGTGGATGTAGAGCGTAGGATAGTAGGCGCGTTAGGGCGCTGTGCGTGCTGGTAGACAGGTTGATGAACTTACTGATGGCAGCCCTTTCATGCTGGTGAATCGAAAAAAGAAAATGATGCTCTAAACTTTAAAACTCTAAATCCTAAACCCAAATTGAGCTCTAAACCTAAAGACTAAATGTGCAAGCACCACAATTTTTGGGTGACATATATGGGACTAAACCCGCCCCCTAAAATTGTGATTTTATTCTGTACTCTATGGAAATCTTCACGCATTGCAAAAATCTCCATAGATGCGATAATTTTCACAAGATTGCAGCAAGATTTGCAACGTCGTAATCATGGACCGCATTCTGATTGGCCGGGATGGCAAGCGACATTTTCATCAAAAGTTCTACAAGTCCACGTTTGCGGCGGCAAACAACCTTCAAGTCACAAAAAATCGGCTGACGGACCAAAAGGCCAAAAATACCCAAAAACTGCTGTCTAAAAATACTGCGCCATACAAACATCAAGTCAAAAAGTCCAGGATGTCCAAAAGACAGTCAGTGCAATACGCCCACATGTACCGTAACGGACAAAACGGTACGACAGACGACAACCCACCCATTTAAAATTCGCTGACAGCTCGCTCGTTGTATAACAGCTCTCTGGTGGACCAAGACTTGACTCAAACGAAAAGAAAAAGCACCCCAGCACTGCAGCAACCAACTCACGAACTTTGACAGTTTACGGACCAGATCTCCATCACCGCCCTTTTCGAGTTGACTGCTTCGCAATTTGCGAAACAAACAAACGTTTTCTCACTGCCAAATGGACTTCCGGCTATCCAAATTGTGCGTTGTGCAAAGTGGTGCTTGGCCATCTGCTGAGCCATCGCCGCCACAAAAGTCTCACTGACGACTGCTTCAGAGACTCGCTTTTGAGCCAATCGGCAAGCGAATCAAGTCGGACCATTTGTCCCGCTCCTCTCGCTCATTTGTGTATCGGGCGATCGTAGAAGCCAGGTGCTCAAGAGAACAGCAGTATCCTCTCTCGTTCGCGTCTTCTCTACCTCGCAACCCCCTCGCCTCGAACACTCGCCGAGTCGCCACGACAGGAACAACAATAGGTGGAGGCATCGCCATCATGGAGGAACGAGGCGGTGCTAGCGGCATGGCTTACGTCGGAGGACTGGGCAATGTAGCCAAAGTGCTGCTGCTGCTACTTAACATGGCGTTCATGGTAGCTGGCTGTCTGCTGGTGTACTTCAGCCATCGTGTCAAGACATCAGGCTGGTTGGACGCCTTCCAGGGCGATTACGAGTGGATCGGTACATCCACGCTCATCTTGACGCTCGTATTGGGAGCCGTGGTCATCGCACTGGCGGCACTCGGTTGCTTCGGCGCGTTGATGCAACAGAAGCTGCTACTGACTATCTACGGCATCGTGCTAGTCCTCACGGCTATTCTCTTCGTCGTGGTGGCTGTGGGTGCGCATATGGCCAACTCCAAGGCCGACGACTGGAGCAGCCAGGACTACCCCGCTACCGACAACGAGGCGTCGCTTGGAACCAACTTTAACAGACTTTACTGTTACGCACAGGTGCCGTATTACTGCCAAGACGCGTCGGTCAACACAGTTCTCGAGATGTTCAATGTCTCGCTCGCGGGTTACTTCACAGACACCACAACCAACTTCACGAACGTCTGCGCGACAGTGACTCTGGCAGCTATCAACGACATCTGCGCCGTGTGTGACTTGGTCTCTCAATACGACGAATACTCGGTGGTTCTCGACTGGACAGAGGCCTCTTGTCCGCGTACAAGCGCCAATCAGATCTGGTGTGGAGGCTTCTTGCTCAATGCTACAGCTGCAGACGACATGTCCACGAGTGCCCCGTTCATGGAGTGCCGCGGTGTTTTCTACGACCTGGTGGAGAAGTGGACCAATGTCATTATGGTAGCCAGTATCATCTGTATCATTGCAGCTGTAATGGTGCTAGCCATGACTGGTGTACTATGGAAGAATGTGCGTGTTGCACGGCAGGAGAAGGCCATGCCTCCAGCTCCAGCGCCAATGTACCAGTACGCGGACCAGAATCCGGGATATTCCCAGCGCAGCGAGGCTCAAAACAGCAACAACTTCAGTATGGTCTCCACTGCGCCTTATGCGGCCAACGCCAACACCGCCCACCGACGATACGACTCGCCTTACTAGGAGCACAACTCGTGTCCATGAACATATCTAATGCCTCTTTTTGTTCAAAATGGTCTTGTGTGGTTATGCATCTAATGTTTTTGTCCAGCTTACTTCTTGAACACCAGCAACTTGTCATCTGTGCGCTGCTCGTCCAGTTCAAGACACTTCTGGAAGAAAGACGACGCGTTCTGCTTACGATACTGCTCGTCCAAGCTCGCCAACGGATCACGCACGAAGAACTGACGAGCACGACGCTGCCGACTCTTCTTGCGGTCGTTCTTGTTGTTTTCACTTGCGATCTTCTTGTGCAGCGGGTTGCTAGGCGGTACAGGAACCTTCGGCTTGAATGTGAAGGTGGCGCCAGCGTACGGGTCGTAGGCGTCCATGAGCGCTCGAGCGTGCTCATTCGGCAGAGTTGGAGCCAACTGGGCAGTGCCAAGAGCATAACTGGACAGCTTCGGATGGACATGATGAGTCAGTAGTGCCAACTCCCAGCATGCGCTTGAGAACGGGTTGGCGAAGTCGGGATCGTCGATGTCAGCACGGTATTCGCCCGACGCTACACGATCCACGTCGGATTCCAGGAGCTGCTGCAGCTTTGAGTAGCGATGAAACAGTGCACGCAGTAGAGACAGGATAGCCAAGGCTTGGTGCGGTGGCAGATGCTGAGCCACAAGCAGCAGTCGCTTGACAAAGGATGCCACACGCTCGACAACGATCTCCTTGCGACGCAGGAACACTGCTTCCACACATTGCAGTAGAGTCGTGAAGCACGACGAGTCGGAGCCTGCCTCACCTTCCGCAAACCGGTGCAGCAGCCGGTAGAGAATGTCGACAAACTCCTTATCATCGACCATGAGCTCCTGTCCTCCAGGACCCTGCAGCGCGCGCATTCCTGTCAGCACAGCTTGCAAAGCCGCTGGAAGTGGCAGCACGTCCTCTTCACGCAGCACGACCTTAAGCACCTTGAGCAGATCAATCATGATATCAAGATTGATCAGGAATGAGAATTTCGCCAGACCTTCCAGCACAGCCGGCAGAGCCTGCGAGTAGGTCGCTTGTTTCAGGATGCGGAAGTAAATCAGCACCAGCTCGTGTAGAATGTCAGCCTGCGTTTTTTCGCGCTCCGCACGGTCCACAACAGCCTCAGCCTCCTTGAGACCGGCAGCGATGGTATCGCCCTCTGCCTGCTGACGACGACGCTTCTTGCGGTCAGACTTGGCCTTCTTACGAGCTGCCTCACCCTGCTCCATTGTAACTTCAAGCGGCATAACCAGTAGCGTACGGATGATGAAAGGCTGGACACGATGCTGCTTCTGCTTCACGTAACTCGAAATCTGCTGCACGATCTCGTACGAACACACACATGTCTTGTCGCTCTTGAAGACACTCTCAAAGGAAGCGCAAGCCTGCTCACGAACACTTGGGAACTGCGAGTCTGCCATAGGAACCAGCGCGATCACAAGGTTAAGGTGAAAGTTGAAGGCGTACTTCTTCTCCAGCAGTTGAGCCAAGCAACGCACACCAGTCTCAGCCAGCAGCACGTCACGTCGTTCGCGTGCAGTCATCGTCACCATCTGCTCCGGACGCTTACCCTTGAGCCCCGTCGTAACCAGCTCGGCGCAGTACTTGAGGAACTTCTGGTAGTTATTGAGCAGCGCAGCCTCGTAGTCCTGCATCTGCTGCACCTTCTTCTTCATGGGTCGTCCGTGGTTCTGTTTGCCCTTCTCCTCTGCACTCAGATCGTTTTTCTGAAGACGGATGCGATAGTCCGGTAGGATGTCGAGGAACACTGACAATTGTGACATTAGACTGAGACGCTGCACAATAGCGTCCGGGTCGCGACACAATTCCTGCAGTTGTTGGATCTTACTGAGCTGTTGTGGATGTTCCTTGTTCTTCTTGAAAGACTCCTCAGGGTCCTCCAATATACTCTCACAGAGCTGCGCAATCTCCACCTTCTTGGTAACCAGGCGAAGCTCGCGCTGGCGCTTCAGATCCACAGGCGACAGCTCAGGCTTGGGCGTCTCTGTGGGTGCTGACGCGTCAGCGTCTGTGATCTCCTCGAACTCCATGTCTGACACATCTGAGTCCATCTCTTCATCGTTCTCTTCCTGTTCTTTCTCTTCTTCTTCAGATTCCTCTTCTTCTTCTTCTACCTTTGGTTTTTCCTCCTTCTCCGCGAGTAGTTTATTGGAACGCACGCTGCCGTCCATGAATTTGACTGGCAGTTTATCTTTGAGCACCTCCTGCTTGTCCGTGGCCCATGCAGCCTTGCGTGGACGCGCCTCCAGCTTCTCTAGAGGCATCTCATCCTTCTCGTCCTGTTCCTTAACGGGCTTTGGTGACGCCTTCTTATCGCTCTTAGGATACAACGACTTCTTCAACGCCTTAGTGTCCATATTGGCCAGAAATGACGTGAACTCTTCGTTGTCCTCGTAGAAAGCCACATCTTCTTCGTCGATCTCCACGTCCTCGTCCTCGTCGCGATCAGCGTGGCGTGTCGACTGCTGTGGCTTTTTGGTACCATTCTTCTTGTTGCTGGAGCCACGGCCCTTAGTTTGCGTCTTGCTCTGCTTGCTCTTACTGCCGCTGGCGCCGCCCGGAGCGGCCTTGCGCTTCTTGCCCTTAGTTGCCACCATTGGCCTAAAGTTGCTGTGTCAATCCGCTGCCAGTCAAAGTTGATCACAAAAAAGGACGCCGTTATTTTGATCCAGACTAAAAACAAAATGGGACCAGATGTTAAGAACATCCATGCAGTTATTAACAAAATGGAGCCATTAACCAAAGTACACTTCAACCAGCTACCAGAACGGACACCAACCGTAGTAAAGCTGGCACAGATTCTCGTGCGAAGTAGCTTGATGGATCAGTCGATCGACTTGCGCGTCCACAGTGAGCACTCTGCTGCCGTCGTCGAAGTCGCGGCCAGCCAATTTCTTCTTAACACGGTCGATAACACTCAGCGCCTTCTCGTTCAGCTGAGGGTGCTCCGCTGCTACGAACGAGGTACCAAAGTTATCCCGCTGTGTCTCCGACATCGAGTTGCGCGCCATCGTCGGGTCCAGCATGTCCATGTTGTAGCCCAGCATCGCTGCCTCAGACGAGGAGTGTCTCCGCCTCCGAGGCGTCACTGGAGCAGACGACGTCGAGCTCTTCATGCTGCCCTCCGTCAGCTTGTCTTCATCAGCGTTGCCCCCATTCGCAACGTCCCCTTCTCCGTCTGCATCTCCCTCGTCTTCACGCACAGAATTCCTGTCAACGCTGGCATCGGGGCCATCTCCACGTCCAGCTGCAGCACCGTCATCTTCCTCAGGTTGTGCGTGGGATGGCACAGCATCCTTCTTGAGTAGACGCCAATTAATAAGCGGATCGTACACGAACGCCTCAAGCACAGCCATGAGCGAGTCACGGTTATCACGAAGCACACGCATCGACGCTTCACACGTGTAGCGGAAGTTGCCTTCAATGCCACTGACCTCCATTGCCTGCGTCAGCATGCGCGTGAGTCGGAACGGAATCTTCTCCGGGTACTTGTCACGCTCCATTGCTACTTCAAAACAGTCACCAAAGTCAATGTGCACGAGTTTGCCAGACACACGATCCAGCATGAGATTGCTAGGGTGACGATCACCAAGACCAAGAATGTAACCAGCCATCGACATGACGGCGAGCGAACGTGTGAAGTTCCGGCGTCGGTCGAGCCAAACCTCCGAGTCTTGACTCTTCAGCCACAAGACACGGTACAAATCCTGGCCTGTAGTCTCACCAAGTGCATACTTGAACGCCTCAACCTTCTGCATGAGCGGCAACTTGTCGTAGTCGGGTGCCATTTGCACCATAAGACGGTGTTCGACATTCAGCTGGATCTTACGTGCCTCACGGTAGTCACGAATAAGCTGGTGCAAGGTATCACAGTTGGGCACCCAACCAATAAGACCACTCGTGTGCGACAACGGGAGTACCGAATACCGCTCGATAGCCAAGTTGCGTTTGCTGGTGTCGCTGTCGTTGGCCAGCAGCGTGTTGATCACACCGAAGAGCTGCATCACACGTTCATCCTGACGCAAATCTTCATGGCCCTTGAGTAGGAACGGGTAGGCTTTACCGTCACTTCCATTGATCGTCACCTTTCTGGGTCGCTGCTTGGACGTTAGCACAGTCACCTTCGTGTCGAAAGATTGAATACGAACAATAGGAGCGCCAGCCTTGTACGTGCCCGGTACTGCAAGCGTCAAATTGTGCACAGATAGTAGCTTCGGACCGACGTTAGCGAGTTCTAGCGTTGAGAGGTTTGCCAGTTGCTTACGGATCTTCGAGAACACACTGTAATAGATGTCCCACGCTTGGTTCAGATCGTCCAGACTCTTAGTCCGTTCGTACACATTGGTCCATTCCTTCGCATAGGCGAGATCCCGAGCGAATGCTTGGTAGAATGCCACCTCTCGAAGCGTAGGTGTTTCCTCTGTGCCGATTCTGTCCATCTGCTCGTGAAGCGGGGCCAACTCAGCAATCATAGCAGTCACATCACGGTTATTGAAGAAATGCTTGGACGCTTCCTCGAGAGCGCCATGCCACAGTTCATTCCAGAGGATAGCCACACGAATCAGCTCACGTGACACCATATCAGCTTCGTACACAAGCTGGGAGCTATGTCGACGTACAGCAGCAAGAATTCCTTCCGCCGCGTGCTTCCGCGTCGGGTTCAGCGCCTTTGAAGCCACTGTAATCGGATAAATCAAAGCTTGAGGATGGGCTTGTCCGATCCGAGAGAGAAGATCATGAAGAAGCTCACTAGTCTTCGGGTTCGGTGTATCGATTCGCGCAATAAGCTGTGGGATCACGTCCAGCCACGTGTCAACTGATGCCTCCTGGAAACCCTCAACCATGGCCATGTGCACATCGCTGCGATTGCCTTGCGTGAACCAAAGCGTCAGTAGGCGCAGAACGTCCTTGGTCACATCATAACTGGTATGGCCGAATGAGATGGATCGGAAGAAACCCTGGATGGCTCGAACAGCATAGCGTTTCGGATCTCCGTGACCAGATTCCTTCACTGTAGCCTCAAGCGCCCTGAAGTTCATAAGAGCCCACTCATGCCATGCGCGATCGTTCGTTGGGTCCAGCTTTGTTGCTGTCTCAAGACACTCAAGGACATGGTCGTACGACTGCTTGTGCGGCTCGGTAAGGGACATTTGCCATTCACCCAGTTGAATATACACTTGTACACGAAGCTTGCGCAGATCCTCGTTCGTTGGATCACCATGCTGTTCCAAGGCCTCGATAAAGTAATCCATTTGCTTCAAGGCCACATCTTCGCGATTCTCAGCCCACAAATGCCTCAGGTAGCTGAAGGCAACGCGAGGGTCCTGTGCTGCACTGTCCGCTAAACTCAACAAGCCGTTCGCAAAACCTTGACTAGCTCCAGCATTACCACCTAGATTGATCGGGATCGGTGCATACGGGTCTCGTTCAACGCTGCGGATGAACGGCTGTGCTCCAACACGCCAGAGTGCGCTAGACGCGAGGTTAATATGTCCCGACTTCAGACATAAGCGCGCATACTTGAGCCAAATATCCACGTCTTCTCTGGGATCAAACACAAGCGATCGCACCAGCATGAGATTCTGCCACACTTGGATATTGCGCTCCACTCCCAGCATTCGTCTCGTCCAGATCGTCTGCAATTTCTTCAGCGCTACTTGCTTCTCGTGTCCATACGAAGTTGATGACGAAGACGACACAAAGTTAAGGCTGCTGATACTTTGCTTGCGACGTGACGCAGTTGTGGACATTGAAGTGGATGAAGCCGGCGTTGACAGAAGCGTCAGCTCACCGTTGTTCTTGTAGGCAAATGCCTTCAGATACGAGACAATCTCCTCCAGTTCCGTGAGCATCTGCAGATTTACAATAGCCGGGAGGTATGCCCGAGCATAACTTTCGCTCACAAGGGAGCGTAGCGTTGGATCCATTTCTTTACGACAATCACCGATTAAGTTCATAGCTTCATCTAGTTCCATGCGCCGAATAGACACAACCGCCTTGAACAGATGCGACTCGGTAGGGTCCATATCTGAGTTAATATACTTCGGAATTGAGTCCCAGTTCTGCAGCGAGAAGGCCACTCGTGCGCCACTGCTGCACAGCTCTCTCTTCAGAGCCGGAGGAACATCCAGCAGCTTCTCGCCATCTTCCTGTTCACCATTCAAGTCCTGACCCTCACCGTAGATTTTAGACCAAGTCTCCTGCACGTGATCGTTCAATTTGCGCCACTCGCCAATCGCCCACAGACAACGCATTTTGCCGAAGATGGCCTCGACATTGTTCGGGTTTTCTAGCAGGACACGATCGTGTGTCGCTAGTGCATCGTCCCACCTCAGGAGCTTTTCGTGCCACGATGCCTTCACTTCAATACCTGGCAGCTTTTCCAGAGCGTACTTCAGGATACCACGTGCAGCCTCCGGCTGGTTTAGTTTCGAGTTAATGCTAATAAGCGCTTGGATTCCATCAGTACTCGGGTTCGTGTTAAACTCAAGCTCCTTGTAGTGAAGGGCCTTCGCGAACGAATGGCACTTGTCTGCCAAAGATCCAAGCAATCGAATATCAATCGGAAGAGGCTGGTCGTCATGCTCCATGAACTCTGCAAGGTTCAGCAGTGTCTGAAGAATTTCCGATGGCAAATGTGGCGACTGGAAGGCTGACTCCAGAGATCGGATCAAGTTGTCCTGCGTCGTGGACGATAGATGAGGCCACACACTTACAAACGATGCGTTAAACAGCTCTCGAGCCAAAGGTTGGTACACCGAGGCCAGCTCCTTGCAAGCACGAAGGACAGGCGATGGCGACTCTCTAAGCAATTCAACCGAGAACGCGAGGATCCACTCGTTCCAATCTTCTTTCGTAGATCGCTGAGATGCCTCCCACGCCTTCATTAAATTCTTTTGGTCGCATGGTAGACTTTTCGTTTCGTCTTGTGCGGCTGAGTTTGAGTCCTTGTGGTCATTAGCGGTGTCAGCGCGGGCTTTCAGAGGGTCAGTTGCCCATGAAGCTACGGGAAGTGGTTGGTACTTCAAAATCTTGGACACCAGCAGATCGTATCGATCGAATATATCGTTTGAACGCGATGTATGACGGCCCAGTACCTGGCTAATAACCGGGACGAAGATCGCGTAGTCGTCACCCATAGTGTAGACCATACAGCAGAGGCAATCCATTGCAAGATACACCATCTCCGGCTGCGACGAGATCACACGTGCCAACATGTGAATGATCTTGGACGCATACACGCTCACATTCAGCTTCTTCACAAGCGAACCCAGCGAACCCAGGCCCTGTTTCCTCGCATTTACATCAGCATCACTCTGAATAAGCGCCACGAGTGCTGGGATAATCAAATGGAGGTATCCATCCAGCAAACGTCCGAGCGATACTGCAGTCTTTAGCACCAAAAGAGTTCGAGGCCGAGCAGGATTGTCACGTTCAGTACGAATCACACGCAGCATTTGAGGAATGAGGTCCGGCAGATAGACACGGAATTTCTCTCCAAGTGAATTCGCCAGCTTCTTGACCAAGTTGAGAACCTCTTCAAGATGCTCGTCCCAATAACTATTCACGATTGAAAGCAAGGCCACGTGGTCAAGGTGCGGTTGAATCTGCTCCTCGACAATCTGAACCAGGTCGCAAAGTTGCTCAAACAAAAACTTGCGAAGAGAACGGTTCACCTTTTCTAGAGCGTAAAGGAATGCTGGGATGATCTTGTCCAAATGCTGCCCCATTCGTTTCCGCTGGCTCTTGCAGATGTACATGATTGCCATGAACGTACCCTGGTAATGCACCGAGTTACGCGGTTCGAGTAATATGCGAATCAATGCATTGATCGCGACTGTAGGGAAATACTGGGACGAGTCAGGGATCATTGATGGTAGCAAGTCATCGGGTGGAACCTCCAGGATGATGTTGGTCAGCTTCCCACTAGTCTGCTTGTCACTTTTTGCCACCTTCCGCGCCGGTGTGAGCAGTAGTGACTCCCCAAGTTGCTGAACATCTTCCTCGCTGCTGCCATCAAGCACTCCAGGACCACCAATCCCATTGCCAATTCGAATACCAATAACTGCTCCATTTGTCTCTTTGGCTGCATTCGGACCAGCGTACGCTTGCGAAGGGTTTGCTGCACTAGCCATTAGACTGAATACTCCACCAGCACCAACCGCAAACGCACTGGAACGGAACTCTTTCTTTTTGGCATCTGTGAGTTTGCCTTGCTTTTGCAAGTGGAACAGCCGAAGATTGTACGGGTCCAACGCGCCCAAGACACCGAGCGTACGTCCTGCTTCAATACGCAGAGATTCAAAAGCGTCACCAGACTTCTGCAAAGCCTGGCACAACAAGTCCAATAACTCCGGGTACTCGTGATACGGCAGAACCACATAACCTGTTGACGACACGAGCTGACCCAGAGTTTTGATAGCTACCTGTAGAATTTGCGGATTGCTTGAGTCTCGCATTTCGTCAATGACATCGGGTAACAGTTGACCGAGATATGGCGTCAGTTCTTGCGCCCCAACTTCTGCTAAGTCACCCAACGTTGCCAGGATGGCTTTGCTCACACTGACAGTACTTCGACTGTGGCTACGGCGCTCTGAGTCTTCACGCAGATTCTTCATCAACACACGAAGAATGGGGAGAACGTAAGGCTGGGCCAGTTGTGAAGCTGAACGTAGCAAACAACCGATCAAAAGCGCGCCTTCCTCTTTGCCTCGGGAATCTCCACTAAACTCCAACTCAGCTAATAGCTGTACCAACGTCTGTCGAAGCGATGGTAGCACGGTGGACGGATTGTGATGTGTCAGTCGTCCAAGCGTACTCATCGCAGTCTGACGGATACTGAAAACCTCATCGTTCAGTGCAATAAATAGGCACCGCAAGTTGTCATTCAGCGCAAGAAGCGGGTCGAATCGTGAGTCCAGCGATGCCAAAACACGCAGTCGAATACTCGCTTCATTGTCAGCGATACCCACTGTTAACAAACGTTCGAGCACTGATGTGACGGGGCGAGCAAAATCCTCCGAGGTCATCGCCATATTGCCACCACGATCTTCACCTGATGGCAGAAGCAACTTACAGCACGTGAGTGCAGCACTCTTGCGGATAGTTGCAACTTCATGATCAAGAAATTTCACCACAGTTTCGTGAACAAAAGACATGATCGGGATGAGTCGGTTGCCCTGAAAATCAAAGTTTGCTAGAGTCTCCAGTGCAAGTGCCTGCATCGCAATGGCCGACGACACCTCCGCTGATGGAGCACCATTCTCTGCTGTTCCATTGGTCTTCGCTCCAGTGGCTGAAAGGAACAGATTCGAAAGCATTCCACCCGTCACTGAAATGGAAGTTGTTTTGAGCCTCCTACTGGTAGGAGTCGAAGCAGATCCCGTGACGTCGTTGTGTCTGGAGCGCAGAATTGAGCTTAGTCGTTCGAACAGCTTCTGCTGGACAATGGGCTTCATCGGCGGAATCTTCTTGACGATAGTCGTCAGAGTCTCCACAAGTGACGAGTCCAAATCGTTCTGGAAGAGCGGCCCCACCATAGACTCCAAGTCAACCCTGATAAGTGCCGGACCCACAGTCTCCGCCAACATACGTAGACACGCGAGAGCCTCTCGATGTGTATCGAAATCCTTCTTGCGCACCTGTAATCCACCTTTAATTCCATTCATGATCGCCATCAAAGCCTGTTCGTCCCTCGCTAGTAGCGGTCCAATAGCTAAAGACAGTTTTCCAATCGAAAGCAGAGCGTCCGGACGCGTTGTCGTCGTAGCCGAGAAAAGCACCTCGAGCAAATGGTTCATACAGGGACGATAGCATTTCTCGACGAACACCGACGTGTTAAACTTGGCCAAACGAGGGAACAGACTGATGACAGCAGAGCGAACAGTAGCACTCTTGTGGTCCTGGTGGCTGAATACAAGTCGGCAAGCACGACCGTAGTGCGAGTGCATAAAGTCTCCTGTATTGCGCAGCAGCTCGTTCAGAATCAGCAGGGCTCCGTGTGTAGCGTCCGAGCTGTTGCGTTTAAAGGCACCCTCGGCTTCATCCAATGCGCGGTTATACCACGACGTCTTGCGGTTGGATTCACGCTGTTGGATCAGCATAAAGCACGACTGGAGAGATTCACTGGCACTCACTCTCACCACGAGTTTAGAGTCCCAGAAGGCGCTCCAGATGAAGTCAAAGTACTTGTCCATGTATCTGAAGGACGTGGAGGGCGCGTTGATAGATAGTTCTTTGAGGATCATGACGGCGGCGTGGCGACGTACATGGAACGTCTCGTTCTTCAGCCACTCGAGCGCGGGCTTAACGTGATAATCCTCCACGAACTCGATGAGGCTGGTACCGCCCGTGGAAACGATGTGACCCAGCGCTTTGGCAGCTACGCGAAGCATGGGCGGGTCGGCGCTCGGGATCTTCTCAAAGACTTTAGTGAGGGAATGGGCAAACTCTATGATAGTCTGGTCGTTGCGCTCGGCGATGAAGAGCTCCACCAGCTCGTCCATGGCTGCGATACCACCCATACGATCTGCGTTCTCATTCGAGTTGCACAACAGCATGAGGCGCGCACTGATGTCCGTAACCCATTTCATGTAGAGTCCATGGGACAGATCGCGCGACTCGGACTCGATGTACAGCCGCAAGCTCTGCGCCGCGCGGTGCCGCACGCTGCTGTTGCTGCTGCGCAGCCCAGGCAGGAACCGCGTGAAGCTTTCGGCCATTGCCGCCTCGTCCTTCCTCCGTCGCGGTACGTTCGCAAATGCGGGCGCCGTGTATTACGAATGAGGGGGGAGCGCAAATCCGTTCATACAAACGGCAAGTCAAATGGTTCACTGCAATACTTTATCAAAGGTACCACTGCTACATCTGAGTTCAAAATGGCTACAGTGTTGAACATGGATACAACATGTACATGTTGTTGCTGTCGTGAATTATATCTCATTACAAGGCCTTCGTACGCGGTGTTTGCTGGAACTTCATCTCGCGTTCATACGCGGCCTGTTTCATGCTGCAATTGGCGCTGAAGTGACCGACCTGCTTGCAGTAGCGGCACGGCTGCGGGCAGTCTTTCGAGTGGTGGTCATCCTTCTTGCAGTTGTAGCACCGACGATGGCGCTTGCTCTGCGTCGTGACCGGCGGCTGTTCGCCTGCTTGGATCGCCTTGGAGCGTGCTTCCCACGCCTGCAATTTGTTCTCGAGCCGTCGTTTCTTTCCCTTCTCCTTCTGACTGTACATCAAGCGACGACGCTCCTTCTCGTTGGCATCCATCGGTGGCTTACGCTCCGGATCTGCTTCAGTTTCAAAGTGCTCAACAATACGAGAGAACTGCAGCTTGAAGAAGAACAGCAAGTCCGACAGCTGTGCATCCTCCGAGCCCTCTGGCAATGCGATCTTTGCCTTCTTCGCGGCAATAGTGTATTCCTCCAGCATCAGTTGGATAGCTACATCAACAGACAAACAAAAACATATCAATACGACCAGACTCCAACTCAAATCGCACCTTGCAACATGTTCTCGAACCTTCAATCGTGGAGACGCATCCTGCTCCAGCTTTGTGGTAGCGCCAAAAATTGCTCTCCTTCGGTGGCCGAGCTAGTTTCACGTGGCGCAAGTCAGCAATTGCTGGATCTGTCATGATCACGGGTGCTTTCTGCCACGGGCAGTCAATGAAAATAAGTGTGCGGATATCTCGGAGCTCCTCAGCGTTAATCTGCTCTAGCGTTTCGGCCTCAAAGGACGGATACACCACCACAGCGTTCTCACGCGTATAAGTTGGCAGTACATCTCCACCTTTCGCTGCTGGGTAAGGCACGATCTGCACGTCCTGTGGGGCTAGCACTTTAGCGTGTGGTGCCGTGCTCTTCTTGATCTTGTCCTGGAACCACACGTGCACCTGCAGCGGCAGCTTGAGCGCTGGTACCGTCACGTTCTCGGGAACTCCCAGCGTGATGTTGCATTTAGGACAGTAGAATTTATAGCTTCGCTGACATGACGTGCACGGCACGCGCGCCCACGCCTTTGGCTGCTCCTCCAGCGGCACCTCGACACTCATATTTTGCTCCATCAATTGTCTCGAAGTCCCGTTTTTAAAAGCCGTTAGCACATCCAGCCAATCATTGGCTAAAATACCGTAGGAATGCTGGTCATTCCGGTTGTCCACTATCGTTCTTCCCTTCGAGCTGTCATGTGGTCGACGATGATCATGCGGTTCCCTGCACAGGCCAAGTCCCTGTCGCGCAGCGCGCTCGTAATGGCTGGCATGGCTGCGTTCACGGCCTTCTCGAGCTCTCCCTCTGCGCACTGCGAGGAGGAACAGCAGCCCAAAGTGGCGCTGAGCCCGAAGGAATTCCGCTCCTTCACTGTGCGCAAGGTTGAGACCGTGAACCACAACACTAAGCGTGTGACCTTCGCTCTGCCCACACCCGAGCACGAAATGGGCATCACTACGCCTAGCTGTCTTATGGCTCGTGCCAAAGTGGACGGCAAGACGGTCGTTCGCCCGTACACGCCCACCAACGTGAATGAGGAGAAGGGCTTCTTGGAGCTCGTGGTCAAGGGCTACCCACAGGGAAAGCTCAGTAAGCACATCGTGGAGCTCAAAGAGGGAGACTCGCTCGACATGAAGGGCCCCTTCCCCAAGTTCAGTTACTACCCTAACAGGTACAAGAGCATCGGCATGATCGCTGGCGGTTCTGGTATCACTCCTATGCTGCAGCTCATCAAGACCATTTGCCGCAACCCGGAGGACCGCACTGAGATCACGCTGCTCTACTGCAGCGTCTCGGAGGAAGATATCATTCTGCGTGAGGAGGTAGAGGCCATGATGTACCTATACCCGCAGATTTCAGTGATCCACGTGCTCAGCAACCCGTCCGCCGAGTGGAAGGGCCTCACAGGTTTCGTCTCGAAGGAGATGGTCGAGAAGTACATGCCGGGGCCGTCGGACGACAACCTCGTGTGCGTCTGCGGTCCGCCACCGATGATGTACCACATCTCGGGTGACAAAGCCAAGGACAAATCTCAGGGCGAGGTGCAAGGTCTGCTCAAGGAGCTCAACTACACCTCCACACAAGTGTTCAAGTTTTAACTCTACAGGTTGACTCTCGTTTACTCGTTAGGTCTCGTACTGGCGAGGCAGAACATCTAGAACGAAGGCAGTACTGCAAAAAGTACAAGAAATGCTTACATTTTATGCGGTGCTGTTGAAAAAAGTGTGTAACTTTTTGCCGTTCGCTTTCCCCAGCAGCTTCGTGAGTTCGTCTAGTGGCATTCGGCTGAGCTCGGCGAGATTCGAGACACTCGCTAAGACCTTCCGGAAATTGTGCTCGTTGATGCCTGGCAACTTCTTGAGCACATCGATCGAGCTGGTGTTGTAGTAATTTGATGCCAGTCCACCTTCGCCACTGTTGGTTTGCGCTGCGCTGTCATCCATGGGTAAGCCATTGCCTAGTGCAGCTGCAGCTTCCATGTCGGGCTCGTCTTGATATTTCTTGACGATCTTGAAGAGATCCACTGTTGCATGCGGCGAGCGGGACCAGAGGATTCGCAAAGACGGGAAGTGCAGAATCAACAGCGTAAGTTTGGAGACGATGTTGGTGGCACTAATCTCAGGACCAATCTCCGACACGTCTTGAAGCGAGAACGCTTTGCCTTGAGTGAACTCAATGAGCAGCACGGGTGTCTTGTAGAAGCGTCGCATGCTTTCCGCCTGGTTAAATAAACGTCCAGAGTTTAACGAGCCGAAGAGGTCGCTGATGCTTTTGCGCTCTACACAAATCTCTGGAGACAAAACGTAGTCTCCAATTTCTAGTGTCACGGGGAGCACGAACAGTCCTTCTTTGTGGAGCATGGACGGCAATGCACTGCGGAACTCTCGAACGTCAACGACGACCTTAACTCCGGTGCGATGAGACTTCGCACGTCCTCCTGTTCGTGTATCCATGCTGTACTCCACAGTTTGCTGTCGCAGCTTCATGTGAAGCGGAAGGTCGTATACATTCGCAGGCATCATTAAGTGCGCTTTCTGGTGGATGAGCTTGTCAAATGATCGCTTCTCGCGCTGGATTTCGCTCAGATAGGACTGCTGCTCTGTGCTTTCATCGTACATGAGGAAGTAAATCTCAAGCGGGGCATTGTGGGAAGCATGAAATACTTCCACTTCACGGATAAATGCCATATCTGGGTCGTAGAGGATGATACAGGACGGCATAATATCCTCTAGAAAAGCTGAGGCGCCGTAGCCGTGCTCAGTGGCTTGCTCGTAAGTACACAACACAACGCTGTCCATGGGATCCACCACTTCAAGGGATAAGTTCGGTGTTCCTGTTTGTTGATCTCGACGACTTGATGAAGCGTGCAACCGCCCATCGAAAAACATTTTCGACTTGCTCTCACGTTCAGCCTTTTCTTGAGCAGCAGTAATGGCCTCAAGTTCTGCTGTCGATAAGCCGAAGCTTGATACTTCAGTGTTGTGAACTTGGACATCACTGTAGCTTGCTTGTGACGATTCCTCTCGAACACGTTTCTTCGTTTTGCTAGATTTCTTCTTACTGTTTACACCGGTTGAAGGCGTCGCCTCTTCTTCAGTATACAGTTCATCCGTTCTTAACCTCGCAGCAGCCTCCAGCAGAAGTCTCTGCTCTAGTCCAAGCGACGCCATGCTACCTCCTTTTTGCTTCAGTGCAGCCTCTTTCTGCAGTAAATAATGACCAAAACGCCGACGCATCATTTCCTGAGCACCCAGACTTAAGAATTCGCGTAGCTGGGCACACGTTCGCTCGTCTTTCACCATGACCAAGACGGTTGCCCCTCCAGCAGCCAGTTTATCCATATTCTGCTTCATTTTTTTCTTTTGTTCAGCATGTACTTCGTCCAGGATCTCCTTCAGGGCGTCCCATTTCGGGTTTTGTTCCAATACCAGCTTAAGTTCAGCGTTTTCAGCAGCATTGGAGCCCGAACCATTTGAAGATAGCTGGCGAAGATTAACGGGTGTATTGGTCTTCGGATCCACAATTTGGTACAGGCGCTCTTTTGCCGCAGTAAGCAGCCGATCCGCGGCATCGGTGAACAGCCACGGTGACGGAAAGCGCTGTTGTCCGTTCATGGTTTGATAATTAACCAGAAAAGAGTAATAGGAAATGGCGTCGTAGCGCGGAAGGTATGCCAGTAATTGACGCAAAGTCGATAGATCTCCGACAAGTTGCTTGGTTTTAACCGGCAACTTGTGCCACAACGGGTCCAATTGTCGTCGAATGAAGCTGCTGAATGATTTGGCTAGAGCTTTGTCCATTGTAAGATCTGCAGCATCTAATGACTTGGTACTGCGTTGCAATTCTTTGACGGTAGCTTCCAGTGCGACAAGGAGCGCTTCCTGCATGATCTTCATCGACCGTGAGAAGGCCACTTCGATCTCGTACACTTCTGGTTGGTGTTTTTCCAAGCACGAGTTGATTGCAACATGAAATCTCGGATATAAGAACACATTGCGCACGTATAGATGTTTAAGCACTTGCTCCACGCGGTTGAAACCCGATGAAAGAGCGACGCTGTCGTCGCAGAAGCCTTTGATGAACCCTTCTCGATTGCGTTCACGGTACAGTCTGAGGATAAAGGCCTCGATTGATGTCTCGGTCACGTGGTGTGCGTCATTCACTAGCAATCCGCTGATAAGACCCGGGTCCACATGGTTGGACAGCAGGTCCACCACGAGGATACGCGCAGTCACGAAGAAGACACCGCCGCGTTTGTACATTTGTTGCCGCTCGTTCAGGTTGTTTCGAGCGTCTACCACACGCGGTAGCAAGCGGCGATCGAGTCCCAGCGCGAGCACCAGACGACGCAGCGTCGCTGCTTGTTCATTTGCGTTCAAACACAGCACGAGACTGCGAGGGGAGCAATATAGACGCACGAAGCTCGCTAGCACGCGTAAGAGACCGAGCCCGCGGCCGAGCACCAATACGCCGTCTTGTGCGTACAGTTCTTCTACTATTTCTCGTTCGTATGGCAGCCAACGTGCTGCTAGTGACGAGATCACAGTGTCGGAATCGTCATCACCAGAGAGATCGACCACTTCCACTTGTTGCGCCATTTGATAGAAAAATCAAATGAAATTTAGGAACATAACATTGAAAAATAACGGTTACGAAGTGAAAATAAGTTGGCGAATATGGCATTCTTGACGAGGAACGCCCGCTGAGTCCCAGCTGAACACGGAGCCGTAGTTGTAGCTGTACGATACGCATGCAGACACGGCTCCAATGATGCTACCAGCTAAAATATCCGAATAGTGATGCCAATTATCGATGGAGCGCGTGATGGCTACCCATGCTGCCACGAAGGATGGCACGAAGCAAAGCAACAGCTTTAGCATCTTCCGACCACCTTGACTTGCAGACTCACTGCGGTTTCTGCTATTGAGACGGGATCGACCGAGTAAATAGAGCTGCCAAAGTAAGACAAAGAGTTAGAGGTGCATAGGATGACTAAATTCTTCAAGCAAAGCAGCATACCGTCAGTACGAGCATTGTAGACCATGCAAATGAAGCGTGGCCCGATGGGAAGCTCTTGCGTCCCTCCTTTTCACCTGCAGGATTGGTGCACAGGTTGGTGACGCCATCCCACACCACATCGTACTGCCAGCCGCACATGTCATAGAAGCTCGGGCGACATCGTCCGGTGAGGTTCTTAGTAAACTCTGTCAGCAACTCGCTCATGCTTGCAGACTGTGCCAATGCCAGTAAAAAGTCGCGTGTATCGTGAGGGACTAGTCGGACCTTCAATGCTTTCGGAAACACATAGTTCATCAGCAGATTCACCGTCACTGGAATCATGACACCGAAAAAGATCAATGCCTCCGTAGACACTTGCTCTGGATGAACTTTGGCATTGAGCGTTGGATCTCGCGCCCAAATGGTTGTGTTCGAATCCACCTGGACTTCAACGCTGGGGATCGAGCGTTGTTGGACTGGGATGCAGGCGAAGAAAAGCGCGAGGCCGAACATGACAACCGTACAGCTGAACTCTAGCGCACGGAACTCGCGAAGCTGACGCGCAAGATTGCTGCGTGCACCATATTGTTCGCCAGCAGATGAGAGCTCTGTCGAGCTCACTATCATTAGCGTGTACTCGTCCACCTCGTCGCCATCATCGTCGGCCATGTCGAACAGTTTGATGGCGCGTTTCCTTCTTTTTAGCCAATCAAGTGTTGAGACCGTTTGAATCTTTCAAGCTGAAGTCCTTGATTTTTACGAAGCCATTGAGCATACCAGGGTATTGTTCACCTACTACCGAGATTTCTCGTTACAGCTTCTATTTACTCGATTGAAGAATGGTGCTTCAGACAAGTAAATGACGGTATGTACGCATCGATAACAGGGCGTGGTGGAAGTGATGAAATGAAGATCCGTGTACGAGTTCTTGAGCAGCGAAAACTCGTGAATGGTCCATGAAAGGTCGCTAGCTACAAGCTGTAGACTGCAGCAAGTGCAACAGAGCCTTGGTTAGAAAATTGTTGTTTTGGATTATGATCTGCCCTAGACAAATGCAAATACAGACTCGCCTAATTACCATTATTATTGGCACGGTTGTGAACATTCACAACATATTCGTTGCGTGCGTTTGTCGGCTTGCCTAGCTCGCTTTCCTGGTCGGTGCTGAGTGACCCGCTACTCGCATAAGTGATGCCACTACTGGTCGAATTCAACTTGCCCTGCACAACCACATTAATATTTTCAGCAACCCCGAACACTAACAGCAACCATTAAAAATATAACTTTTGCCTACATACCTTACAGGCCACCGCATGGCACCGTTGCAGAGGAACGCCAGCATGTTGACTGTGGAAGATGGAAGCGTAGTTGTAGCTGTAGGATAGGCAAGCGGAAACGGCACCAATAATGCTCCCCGCTACGATGTCGGCGTAATGATGCCAGTTGTCGATCGTTCGAGTTACTGCCACCCAAGCCGCCAAAAACGTGGGGATGAAGCAGAGGAATAGCTTCAGCGTTTTGCGTCCGCCCCGCATCATAGTCTCGCTTCGGTTTTCGCAGTTCAAAGATGATCGTCCCAGCAAGTAAAGCTAATGGTATCACGTCAAGAGAAGATAGTTAGAGTTGTGGACTGACACATACAAATCGGCTGCACGACCAACATACCGTGAGAACAAGCATGGTTGCGAATGCAAAAGAAGCGTGTCCGGATGGGAAGCTCTTGCGGCCTTCCTTCTCGCCCGACGCGCTTTGACAAAGGTTGGTCACTCCGTCCCATACGACGTCGTAGCTCCACTTGCACATGTCGTAGAAGCACGGGCGGAAGCGTCCAGTCATGTTCTTGGTGAACTGAGTCAGCAGTGTGGCCATGCTCGTGGACTGCACAATCGTCAAGAAGAAATCACGGACATCGTGCGGGATGATGCGCACGCGGTGAAACTTGGGCAGCGCGTAGTTGATAAACAGGTTGACGATGACCGGAGCCCCAACGCCAATGCCGACCAGGGCGATCATAGGCACTTGCTGCGCCTTCTCCTTGTTGTTGATCGTCGGGTCCCGTGCCCATACCGACGTCGTCGCGTTTAGCTGCACCTCGATGTTCGGGATCTCACCTACAGAACATTAAACCACTTCCGTTACTATATACTCAAACCACCAAACACGTAGACAACTGATACAAATGACGTACGTTGGGCGACCTGAATTTTGGCGAAGAAGAGTGCGAAGCCATACATGATCACAGATATAGCGAACTCGGCTACTCTGTAGTCACGCGTGAGGCGTTCCCACTTGCCGCCATTGCTGGACTCGTGCCGTGCCAGCGCCGGCAGCTCGGCCACAGACGTGATGGACTCCATGAACGGCACGTCACTCGCGTTGCTTGAAGCAGACCGAAGTCTGCCTGGGTAAGCGCGTTCGGTCGTGATCACTACGCCGTCGTAACGCGCGAAGAGAGGGCTTTTTCACCGCTTCTTCACTAGTGGCTCGCCTAATCGACAGACGGACAGCCAGATAGCGAGAGAGCACACGACCCAACGATACGCAGGTCGACCCTGTGCAAAGTGGGGAGAAAACAAGAATGGCTTGGCCAAAGTGTCACTTGCGACTGGGCTCCTAAAAACGACCAGGATGGGATTGATTAATCTGGTGCGACTGTTTAAATTCTGTGTCATCGATAATAAGAGGATAGCCTCCTACAAATACTCAGCCAAGTTCCGAAAAATATCAGCTCATCTACCTAAAGTAAGTGTTCTGACAGACAGTTGTATCAGATTTTATCTCGCATCTGGTCACCGAAAACCAGAAACAAAACAAGGACAGGCTATAATCAACAAAATGTGGCAACGAAAATCCGTTTGATCGTTGTTCTTGATCACCTGCACCTGCGTGGGTGGGCCTATCCGTCCGATAAACAATTGCTCACAGGTCTTTTAGCTTCGCCTTGACAAACATGGCCAGATCATTTCCCAGAATCATGGACCCTGATAGCTTCCAACGGACACCGTAGTTGTGATCACGAGCACTACAATCAATTTGATCTCTAGCGTCCATGATCACCTGCGTCAGCTGCAGTGCACCCGCGGTGTGGGTAAACTCATTTGCCCGATTTCAAGTCATTGACTCACGTATTAGGGGGTTATCACTTGTTATCAACGAGAACTTATCGTCCCCACATTGAACGTGTTGCTAGTGCGATTGATCGTTTCGACGATATGCCCCCCCGTTGGCGGCCCCCTCCTCAATCTGTGAGCTGCTCACGACATCGTCTACTTTTGCCTACATGTAGGTTACCAGCCATTTTCAGTTAGTTTCCACTTGATTTCGAGGTTGTACTCCGTAAACTATAGCCAGCAACGCACCTTTCTCCGCTCGTGGATGGTTTCCCACGGCAACCCTGCCATCTCCCAGCTATAAATCGATCCGTAGTTGTGGTTGTAAGCCAGGCAAGCGGCTGCAGCGCCAATTACGCTGCCCGCAACGATGTCACTGTAATGGTGTCGGTTGTCTGTGGAGCGTGTGATGGCGACCCACGCAGCCCCCAAGCACGGCAGAAAGCAGAAGAAGAGCTTGAACGTCCGTATGCCTTCTTGAAGAATCGAGCTGCTTTGCTCAGCACTAGTGAGTCTTGCACGCCCGAGAAGGTAGAGCTTTGCAAAAAAAAAACAATATTAAGCAGACCGTCAGAAGTTCTACAGTTCTACAGAGTCCCAGTAACTCACCGTGAGTACGCCCATAACTGACCACGCAAATGATGAATGTCCGGATGGAAAACTCTTTCGCCCTTCGTCATCGCCATCCGAGTCGCTGCACAAGTCCGTGGTGCCATCCCAAACCACGTCGTAGTTCCAGCCGCACATATCGTAGAAACACGGACGAAATCGACCTGTCATGTTCTTCATGAAGTTCACCAGGAAGGTCGAGAGCGTGATAGCTTGACCTAGACTCAGCAGAAAGTCGCGGAAGTCGTGTTCAATGTCGCGGACCTTGACAAGCCTGGGAAACACGTAGTTTATTGAGAGGTTGACCACGATTGCGATCGCGAGGCTGACGATAATTAGCATATACATCGGCACTGAGCTCAAAGCCGGACAATTAGCTTAGCAGCAAATTAAGCAATTAGATTCTCGTCTCACCTTGCTCGGACAGCTTTTCCTGATCCATAGCAGGGTCTCGTCCCCAAATGCTGGTGGTCGAGTTCAAGCGCATTTCAATCCGAGGGAAGGCGCCTGGTCAAATAGTAGCAACTTCGTTGAAACATTTTGTAGGCAAATGGCCATTACTTCTGTCGTCTCAATACTCACGCCTGTGCATCTTCACCCACTTGCCCAGTCTTCTTGCAATGATGTACAGAACGATGGCAAACGCATATTCGATGACCCGATACTCGTGAAAAAGCTTGTGCCACTTCTTCGGGCTAGGTCGGACCTCTGTGCTGTCTGCCGGAACTGTCGTCGTGTCACTGCTGTGCTTCTCGTCCAGTGTAGGCGTGTGCACTGCCTGGTAGCCGTCGGCTTCAGGACGGAAGCCACCGCCGTTTGCAGTCGCGACGTCGCTCATTCCTGTGATGAAGAATGCAAAAATGTAGATGTACACAAGTACGGTCTCAGAATTGGGGTCTGCTTGTCTCAAAGTGGGGATTATGGCAACATGAACGAAGTTCAGTACTTGCAATTGTATGCTACCCGGTTGTTGTATTTTGCCAAAAACTTTTGCATTAACTACACTCGCTGACTGCTCGACACTCTAGTATTGCGGTTCATCAGCTTTCCATGTGCTTCCTGGTTGTTATTCATCGACTCGCTCTGAAGCACAAGCATTTAAAGTAAGGTTTCTGTTGTACTTCGAAGTTCAAAACATCATGAGATAAAGGTAGATGCGTTCGTACCTTGATCTTCTCGTGGATAGTTTCACACGGCAAGCCTGCGTACTTCCAGCAGAAAATGGATCCGTAGTTGTAGCTGTAGGCGAGACAAGCAGAGATCGCGCCAATGATGCTGCCGGCCAAGATGTCGCTGTAGTGATGCCAGTTATCAATTGAGCGAGTAATAGCGACCCATGAAGCTGCTAAGCAGGGCACGAAGCAAAGGAACAGTTTCAGCGCTTTCGTTCCGCCTCGCACAGCCGACTCACTGCGACGTGAACAGTTGAGTCTTGAACGTCCCAACAGGTAAAGCTGAAACGGTACAACACAAGTATCGTTAGTATCGAGTGCTTTCTACAGTAGACAACAGAAGCACAGTAACTCGACAAGCGTACCGTGAGCAGGAGCATCGTCACCCAGGCGAAAGAGGCGTGGCCGGATGGGAAGCTCTTACGCCCCTCCTTCTCCCCGGCAGCATCAGTGCACAAATTTGTCACTCCGTCCCAGACCGCGTCGTAATCCCATCCGCACATGTCGTAAAAGCTTGGGCGGAAGCGACCCGTTACGTGCTTGGTAAACTGGGTAAGCAACGTGGACATCGTTACGCCTTGGGCCAGACTCAACAGGAAGTCGCGGACGTCATGCGGGATCACGCGGACGTCACGGATCTTGGGGAGTACGAAGTTCAGCAACAGGTTGGTAAGGATCGGAATGCCGAGTCCAAACACAATCAATGACCACATTGGCACTAACGAAGCAGACAGCATAAACACATTAGACCAATCTTCTAACTATCCATCCAACAGCTTACTAAGAAGCCACTGTACCTTGCTCGTAGAGCTTCTTCTCGTCCACTGTGGGGTCTCGCGCATATACTGTCGTGGTGGAGTTCAGTCGAATCTCGATCCTCGGAATGGGTCCTGCACAGACTCAGGCATTCAACGTCAGCATGACTGCTCTACCAAAACTTGTAACTGGCATTTTTGTTAACTTACGGTCGTTGACAGCCATCAGCGTGAACGACTTGGCAACGAGAAACATTACGAGTGTGGCGCCGAACTCGGCCACGCGGTATTCGTTCAGCAGCCGCAGCCACCGCTTGGGGCGATTTGCGCTCGCATCATCTTCCTCGTGAGGCTTCCAGACGCTCGCTGGAGGGGGCGTCGTTACCGACAGGAACTCACTCGCCGAGCCACGCTCGAGCTCGAAGGGTGTGGCCGTCGCATTGCTGGGCATCTTGTCACTGACAAGTTGTCACGACCGGGCAAAAATGAAAATGAACACTTTGAATCAGAAGCAGCTGCGCATGACAGTGACACCGCGAGTCTGTCGTTTCCATGGCGATTAAGAAAAGACCATAGTGAATCCAAGCTTGCCATTTTCGGAACCTCGGCTTCGACTATCACAGTGTAACGCTCGGATACAGTCTCCAAGTTGGACTCAACGGCACAGTCTCACATCGATCGTTGTCCACGGAACGCGAAGGTGCAGATTGAAAAACATGCCAGCCTTGCGCCACCAGGCTCCTGGCTGGCTGGTGTCACACTGTCACTCTCTCCGACGCCAATTTGCTGGCATTGCTCGCGTAAAGCACTAAAGCATCATGGCACAAAGGTGCGGCACAGTACTGCACTGTTCAACCACGATCATATGGGCACGCATGCCTCATTCCGCATGAGGCAGGCATTGTGGAGCAGATACATGCCAGGCTCACACCGAACCGAGCGCTTGAAGGCAAGGTGTCTCACTTATAAGTATCCTTGACAGCGGGCCATAATCCACGCTGTCACAAATGCCCTTTCCAACGTCGCGTTAATCGCCGAGTGCGAACGAATTCCTCTGCGTGAGATCTGTATTTGCGTGGCCAGCGCCGTAGTGAAGCTAACGTGCATATTTATTCAGTATTAATGGTCGACGGAATCCATGCTGCGGCTACTGAGGTCGACGATGTACTCGCTCGACATGTGCTTGAGCAGCGGCGGCCGTGATTCGAAAGTGTGAGCCCACGCTGGGTGAATGTCAAAGTGCTCACTCGTGGCTTCCTTCGCTTTGTTCTGAGATTAAAACAGCGCAATTATTTTTTAGTAAATGCTGTCGCTTCTACACGTGAGTCGCGTCAGCGTCCTGCTCTCTTCTTACCATGCGACGTTCATGGATCTCCTCGAGAGGCAGTCCCGCCGAATCGTAGCTGAAGATCGATCCGTAGTTGTAGTTGAACGCAAAGAGCGCGGAAACAGCTCCGATGACGCTTCCCGCCAGGATGTCGCTGTAGTGGTGCCAGTTGTCGATGCAGCGCGTGATAGAAATCCAGGCAGCAAGCAACACGGGCGAGCAACACACGAACAGCATGAGAGACTTCTTGCCACCTCGCAGTGTGGAGTTACTGCGATTCTCGCAGTTAAGACGCGATCGGCCCAGCAGGTAGAGCTACAGTAAACGAAGGTCCAAAGTCAGTATGGTGTCGCTATAGAGCTGAAGGAGTTTACGGATACGTACCGCCAAGATGAGCATGGACGCCCAAGCAAAAGATGCATGACCCGATGGGAAACTCTTCCGTCCTTCCTTTTCGCCTGCAGCATCGGTGCACAAATTGGTGACTCCATCCCAGACGACGTCGTGGTTCCACTTGCACATATCGTAGAAGCTCGGTCTAAAGCGGCCGGTGATGTTCTTGGTAAATTGCGTGAGGAAGGTGGCAAGCGCCATCGACTGGAACAGACTCAGGAGGAAGTCACGGGTATCGTGGGCAATAACTCGCACTTGGATAAACGTTGGGAGTATGTAGTTCATAATGAGGTTTGTTCCGACAGGTAACCCGATTCCCAGCGATAGCAGAAGCCACATCGGCACTGGCACACACACATTCCATGGTTAGTAACTCGTACTTACTAACGCCTTGTAATGCATGCTTACCTTCTTCCGACAGCTTTTTTTCGTCAATTGATGGGTCGAGTGACCATGCCACGGCCGTCGCGTTCAAACGCACTTTAATCCCAGGAATCGGACGCTCATGAACATCGATCTCCGCGAACACGAGCGCAAGCAGGTACAGAACGACGGCGCTGCCAAACTCCAGAACGCGATAGTATCGGACAAATCGTTGCAATGCACCCCTGGGCGGGCGGATGGCACCAGCTTCAGCGATATCAATTGGTGCGTCGTCGCTCTCTTCCGTCGGGTAGTTGCGGTGGCCTCCGTTTATTGGCATGTGCATTCCCGTAGGCAACGGTGGAGACCCCACTGACTGGTACCCCGAGGCGACCTCGTCCTTCTCGTGTGCTCGCTTCACGTCATTCACAGCCATGACTTCCACCGTCGATTAAGAAATGAGAAATGAGAGGTTTGGCTTGTGACACAGAGCAATCAAAAATTGACATCCAGTCGGGTGTCGAACCAGGCGGTAGGCAGATCACGTTCTGCTATCTTCCAGCCCATGGATTTTTAAATGTTGAGTCGAACGTCTCGCCGCTTACCCTACGAGCTTCGAAGCAGAAGAAGAACAACAACAACCGTCGTGTCTAATCATGCTCATGCATGCAAAGGTAGTTGCTTTATTCATAGGCAGTTTTGCATGTTCAATATATGTAGGTAGAGCACTCACTGAGTGACTCACTCAGCGGTTTTTGTGTAAGTTGTCCAGTCTATGTGATTTTATTAGAATAGAAACGATGTACCAAAAGTAGGGTACAATCTGATTCTGACTCGAAAGAAGGAAAAGATCGAGCCAAGTTCGCGAAGAGCTACGGGCACCGACATGCGCCGCTCCGGGTCTCGTAGGTGGGCCCCGCTCGCGGTCTGCACATACTATATAACGTCTAATGCCTTCACTGAACATGCTGTAGTCGCTATTCCACTTCCACGTCAGCTCGAAGCGCCAGGTACGATGCAAACTTGCTGTTGAGCTTCAGGTTCCGCTTGATAACATGCTGATAGCTTGGTTATCGTTGTAGCAATGAGCGTGACCGTGTGTTCGATACTCTGCAGCGTCGCCTAGCGTCTCAGACCTTAAACGACTGCACCTCCGAGGCAGACAGTGACTACGAAGAGAAACGCAGTGTACCGGAGTCTGTAGCGGCAGCACCGACGACTGCTCTTTGCCGCTTCTTCGTGCTGGGTAAGTGTCGCTATGGCAGTCGCTGCACCTTCTCGCATTCACTACCCGCGCAGGTGAGCGAGTGCGCCTCAGATGAGACCGAGGGACTATCGGCGGCAGCGGCGCTGGTGGATTGTCCGTTCTTCCTGCGCGGTAACTGCAAGTACGGCGAGCACTGCCGACTCAGACACAATCCAGCCATGCTGCCAGGGGCTGCCGTTGCAGCTTCGGCTCGCTCAGCTCCTAGAGTAGGGAGATTTCCTGTCTCAAACAACTCTGATGTCCACGCAGCCTCTGCTACTCGCGAGGATAACCAACAAGACTTCACGTGCGGCATCTGTTTCGACGATATCGTCCAGTCCGGCAAGCATTTTGGCCTCTTACGTGAGTTACCATTGCAATTGGAACATCTAATCTTTATTATTTACACTGCATAATCCTGATATACTCGTATTATGTGTCAATAGACTGTGATCACTGCTTCTGTTTGGATTGCCTGCGCTCGTGGCGTCAGTCGAAGGATATGGAGCTGGAGGTGATTCGTGCATGTCCAGCATGCCGCCTGCCGAGCGACTTTATCGTTCCCTCGCTCATATTCGTGACTGGTGAAGAGAAACAAAAGGTTATTGAGGCGTACAAAAGCCATTTGGCTCTGCGTGAATGCAAGTACTTTAACGGCCTCTTCGGAAGCTGTCCGTTCGGTCCACGCTGCTTCTACGCGCACCGCGACTCTGAAGGTCGTGACGTGAAGCACTTGGATCGCCCCAAACGATCGACCAAGCCGCGACGTGGCCGAAATGGTCGCCAAGGCGGAGACGCAGCGCTGCAGTCATTGCTACAGCAATACAGCCACCTGTTTCGCTTCTTTGAAGTTGCGGATTGGGACGATTTCGATCTGGTCGGTAGCTTGTACGACTCGGATGACTCGGATGACGACTGGTTTTCAGACGACGACTATGACACATAATAAGCAGAGGTCCACAACACTGGATTGGTATGGACGCAACCACGGCGCAATTATGGTTATGGTTGGGTAGCAATATGAAAAAAAAAAAAGCAAAAGATCAAAGAGGACGAGGACAACAGGAAAAGAGCGGAATGGTCAGCTCTAAATGCACTCCAATACTTGTTATGACTAATAATTGTTAACGTTTTCTGTTGATCGTTTCCAAGTTTATCTAGGAATCGACGTCCCTCCAAACCAAGATCCATCATCAAGATGAACGTTCATCACGCCACGAAGAAGACCCACAACAGTCATACTCACGTAGATTCGCATGGAACTCAACCCTCTGTAGCTCAACGCGCAGGGCTACGCGGAAGTTCGAAGCGAAATCCCAACCAGAAGGCAAAGAAACACCAACCCGACGGTCACGACGCATTGAAGGTAGAGCTGAGTGTAAATGGGTCAGTCGTGGAACAACGACTAGCTAGTGCTGTCCGGACAAAGCGATTGGATTTAAGTCTTCCTCGACATGCCCAAGCTCTGTTGGAACACATCCAGTCTTTCCACATATTCCCTGCGATGATAATTGATCACGTGAATCGAGGTCACCACCTGACAGAACTCTGGCTTACAAACCATCACCTCGATTGTCTTCCAGCAGAAATCGCAGTTTTTAACAAGCTTCGCGTCCTCGGCCTTGCTGGCAATGCACTTGCAGTTTTACCGGACGAATTAAGTCAGTTAACAGATCTTGAGGCGTTGTATCTGGAGAAGAATCGGCTTCGAACAGTGCCAATCAAAGTAACATTCCCACCCAAGCTGCGTGAATTACGACTGGATAACAACCAGCTCTCAACTTTTCCGACGCAGATCACGAAACTGAGACTACTTAATCGCCTTGGTTTGAGTCACAACCAACTAAAATCTATACCAGAGCAAATTCATCGCCTCCGCAATCTTGTGGAGCTCGATTTGGACTACAATCGCATCGACAGCGATCTACCCGATGGGTTTGCAGCCCTTCAAAGGCTGGAAAGGGTTGGTCTCGAGGGCAACTTTCTTGCTGAGAGACCAGCAATTCTCGACCGCCTACCAGTGATGTCGTATATCCGACTCAGTGGGAATCGCTCAAAGCAATTTCTGCCTATGACGGATAATATTGAAGTGGGAGCGACACGACAGCTTTTAGCTGTGCCTAAGCGCCACGACGGATACTTCCAGTGCGTCGAGAGCAGCACTAAAATCCATGGCACGGAGTTCGGAGAGCACAACGAGAATTGCCAACCCTTAGAGGGACTGGTTCCCTGTCGCGACCAGAATATTCTCAACACGTTGATGTATTAATCCGAGTCTTCTTTGAAGTACATGCTCTCATCCTTTTAAGCACACAACGACATAGGGTCACTTAAAGAGTTAAATTTTCAAGACATGCATGTCTTTGTTGTGTTACAATTGGGGTGGTTTCGTTTTTGGATGTGGTGACCTCGAAAAACCGTTGCTCTCGCTACAAGTAACAAGCTGTTGCCATTCTTGTCAGATGAGTTTCTTGAACTCGGAACCAAAATGTTTTTTTTTGGCAGGTTGGCATATCAGCAATCTCGTGAAGAAATCGATTTCCTACAATGGTGCCGCGACTGTTTGCTTCCTTTACAGCGCAGATGAAGGACTACCGGATTCTGGATTTTGCGCTCACTGGCATCATCTATTTGCTAGCGTACGTGTGCGCGTTAGTCGAAGTTCACGAACGCCCAATTCCTGCGATTCGCATTCGCGTGAGCTCAACAGCTGTGGTGTGGGGGTTAGACCCATCGATAGACAACAAGAAGCTAGCTGAGGAAGGTATGAGTAGTGATCCTGCTTATCTGCTTTTTTTTTTCAATTGATGAGGTGCTACTGCAGTGCCATTGTGGCTTCTTTGGACGCTAGGAGTTGCGTTTCCAATTGGAATCAACCTCATTGTGAATTTCGTACTGCCAATTTTTTGTCAAGTTCGAGTCATCGCACATGATACCCGAGATTTCCTCCTAAGCCTGTCCCAGTCTGTGGCTATAGCTCAGCTCTTCACCCACTTTACGAAAAACATCACCGGCCGCTTCCGTCCAAGTTTCTACGATATGTGTAAATGGGATTACGAAATTATCTGGGATGGGATCACCAACTTGTGCACCGATGCAAAAGGGGACAAAGAGGGTCGACGAAGCTTCCCGTCGGGCCACGCTTCCTTTGCGTGGGCGACGATGCTGACATTATCGGTAAGCAATAAGGCTGATTGCCTGCAGCATTGAAAGTCACATGTCTAACGTTTTAATGATGATAGCTGTATCTGCTTGGTCGATTTCGCCTGAATGCTCCGCATAACTGCGACTCCAAACTGCTTGATGGCAGGAAGACTTTTCTCATGAGTCTCTGTTGCTTACCGCTACTGCTAGCGGTGTGGATATGCGTGACTCGAACCAAAGACAATTGGCATCACTACAGTGACATTTTGGGTGGCAGTGTTATCGGCGTAGGCGCAGCCAATTTTGCTTTCAAGACAAATTACGGGTCAGTGTTCAGCAGGGATGTTGCCGGATTGCCTATCGAGACCATCCACGACCTTAAAAGGGTAAGAATTTGACGAGGTTGCTTTGTTTCTAACATTTACATGAAGTGTATTTGCTGATTCACTTGCGCTTTCCAATTAATTACTTGTGCAGCAAACGCAAAAGGTGAATGATGCTGACGCACTCACCGCTCCCTCAAAACAGCAACTGATCGAGTCAACCATGCCATAGAGGGTTATACAAGTGCAACTAGTTTCTTGGTGAAGCGCAATGAATTGCCTTTTCCAGCAACAATATTAGCAGTGCTAGGTGCAACAATAACTCGGACTGACTGTAAATGTGCAGCGTCGAAGCCTTTAATAAAAAATAGATTGTTGCAGCAATTCTGTCTGGCATCAAACCTCGCTCCGAAGTGCTGCGAGAATACCGCGTGCTAGATTTTTCTTACATTGTCGTCATCTACCTGTTAGTGCTTGTAATTGCAGCAAGTGAAGAGAATGAGCAACCAGTCCCTGGGATCAAAGTATTCTTGAACTCCACGACTGAGGTCTGGTCGTTGGATCGGTCACTATACCACGAGAAGCTGCCCAAGCATGGTACTTCTGCTACAAGTAGATCAGCAACACACCCCCAGATGTCTAACGGGTGTGATTTGCGGACTTTCAGCAGTGCCGTTGCGGGCCCTAATGACGTTCGGGCTCAGCTTACCAATTGGTATCAACCTCGTAGTGAATTTCGTGCTTCTAAGGTTCTGTCAGGTACGAGTCATTGCTCACGACACGCGAGACTTCCTGCTCAGCTTTCTTCAGGCTATACCGCTGGCCGAGTTTTCACCATCTTCACCATAAACGTCACAGGGTGCTTCCGTCCTAGCTTCTATCAAATGTGCAAGTGGATCAAGATATCGTCTGGGATGGAGTCGTCACCTTGTGCACTGATGCTGCTGGTGAGAAAGAGGGGCGTAGCAGCTTTCCTTCGGGTCATGCATCCTTAGCTCGGGCAACCATGCTCGTGCTGACAGTACATTGTATATTTCTTCATCATTCACCAACTCCACTTAACGCTATTCATCCCATGACAGCTCTACCTGCTGGGTCGATCACGCTTGAACTGCGAGAATCGCAGCATTTCCTCGATCCGGGATGGCAAGAAAGCCGTCACGATGTTCTTTTGTTGCCAACCAGTTCTACTCGCCCCCTGGGTGGCTGTGACGCGCTCCATCGACAACCAGCACCACTACAGCGATCATCGCGGGTAGCGTCATTGGCGGTGCATCAGCAATTTTTACAGTCAGCTACAACTACGGATCGATCTTTGACTGGAATTCAACAGGACTTCCTCTTGAACGAACGTCGCCTGGTAAGAGATGAACCAAAAGTTTTGAACACGTTTAACTCATTTCTCCCTCGAAACTTGAATTTTGCAGAAGAAGCAATTGAATAACCACGATAACATCAGGAGTTCTCGTGAACCTCAACAACTCAAACACGCGACGAGCCAAAGCGATTACATTGTTGATCGTAGTAGTCAACGCACAAGGTCTCCTTCTCGAGGAGCGTAGGAAAGTAAAAGGATGAGCTGTAAATCTGAATTGATTCCCATTGGCGGCATGAACATGAAAGTAATCGATTTTTGGTAGATGCAGACATCCGGTTGTACATTTGCCATTTAGACGAATTCCTCCGTTATATCTGAGTGTTCGCTCCGATCTTTCAACACAGGTAGAGCGTCTTCCAGGCACCGTACACATAGCACGGTGGAGTTAAACCGCTGGTTGTGGCCATCATTTGCTGCGAAGCACAACCTGCATGCCGGTAACTCCAAACTTACAGGAAGACTGGCAGCTATAAACTCTCGCCACAGTGTCGGGTTGCGCTTTCGCACTTCGGCACGATTATCGATTTGATTTTGATCCATATACGCAGTGAGTTTTCTCCGTGCGAGTGCAGCCACATCATGGCTAGACTGGCGCCGAACGGCTGAAGCTGTGACGTCTTCTGAGTGGTTATGAGCAAAGTCTTCAACTCCTGAGATGTTTTCTGTGCTTACACCGTCACCAGTTGGGATCGACTGAGCATCCACAGGGTTTGAATCAGTCGTGTCCTGTCTATCCTTGTTGCCAGTAGATTTCTGGAGATGAATTTCTTGAGCTGTAGTCTCTTTTCCGTTTCCTTCAGTCGATTTGGGGCTATCTAGCTCAATGATCTCTCTGGGATGATCAACAGCTTTCGACTCTGTTGAAGATGAACTACCGATTCTTGTGGCCTTATCTCCAGTCATGATTTGATCTCCGTCCTCTTCTTTAGACTCTGATGGAGCATCATCGTCGTCATCAATTACGATAGATTTGTCGCCATCCTCCCTTCTGCCTGAGTCGACCTTTTCCGCAACGACCGCTTCCTCTCCTTCAACTTCATTTGACGCCGCTGCCATTTGGTCGGTTGCTTCTTCCATAACTTGATCTCCGTCCCATTCTGTAGCGACTGGGGCTTGTTCGATCTCCGCAGATCTGGTGTCTTCCGCTTGAGTTGTGCCCTCATTCTGATTACTATCAGACAGATTTGTAGGAACCGGCTGCTTCGATGCAGTATCTTCCTCGGTTTTCTTCTGCTGACATACGTTAACTTCGGTCGTTTGAGCGGAGACTACAGTTTCACGCTTTGCCAACAGATCCGAGATTTTCGTCAACTCTTCCACTGAAACCTGGTTTTCCTCAGCTTGCAGTGCTTCGAGGTTTGGAAGAGTTGCTACGTCTGATGCACGCAGATGGGTTACAGCATTCCAGCACATATCGATGACCTTGAGCTGAGGAAGAGCCGGTATTGACATCGTGGTCATGTTGTTGTGCGCGAATCTCAGTTCTTTCAGTTTGGTTAGGCTATTAACGCATGCAGGAAGCTCCAACAACGCGTTTTCAGATGCATCCAGTTCTTGAAGATTCTTCAGCTGACGCAGACCCATGGGAAGCTCCACCAGTTCATTTCCACTAATGTTCAACGACACCAACTCACTCTGGAGCAAAATTACGTTCGGAACATACTCCAAGCCAAGACCCCGCAAGGTCAGTGACTCAGTTTGTTGATATCGACACCACGAAATGCCCTTCTGGTCCAACAGTTTATCATCCCCAAATGTGTTGCATACGAACACCAACTGTCGCCGCTCCATTTCTTCTGCAATCATCTTCGACCTGTCACTCAACTTTCCACCTAACAAGACTTCCAGGCCCACAGTGAGACGCCAAGATTCTAATAGCAGCGGGTTCGCTTGCATCTCAGTATCTAGTAAACTGGATACAGCCTTCATATTTCGCAATCGTAACTCCACAGCAACCAAGGCTTGTAGTATCTGAGGACGCTGGGTCTTCGCTCCACTAAGACATCTTCTCAGACTTGCTCGTGCGGCCAAGAGTTCCCATTCGTGAATAGCAACGTCTAGATATTGCAGGCAGTTGTTTTTAGCAAAAATAATAGGCACATAATTATCACGTACGTACCTGAAAATGCAAGCGAAAACTCGGACGACAAGGCTAATAGATCTGTACATGACGCGTAGAACGCAGCCTTCTCAGGACCAGCCACAGCGGCGGAGCATAGTCGGAATAGCTCCAGGTTTACATCATAAGTGATCAGTTGACTCCGTTCCGGGTTCAGACAATCGCGCACAGCGTCTTCGATCGCTCTATTGCTAATGTCTCGCGTAACTCGTTTCGAAACCTGGCGCATCATCTCAGCCTCCACACTCATTTCTGTCATATACCTTCGAAACAATTGAGTCAGCATCGGTTGGTGCTCACGCCATAATACACTGTCCAGCTCTTCCTGCTGTAAAAGATCCACTTGAAATACAAAGCGCTGCATCCATGCAAGTTGCCGAGCTTCCAAAGATAACGCATCAAAACTTAAGGAGCTCAACACCATCTGAATACCATCGATAGCGACAGAAGGCTCCAACAAGAGGCCCATCAGATGAAAGATATCCAATGCCACGTAAATATCTGCTAGAGATCTCGTAACTTTGTCTGTAGGCTGGCGTTGTGACCCTCGGCGCAGCAAGGCCAGCTGGTCCATCCACGCACTCAATAAAGCTTCCAACAGATCTTTCAGAGTATGCGACTTGGATATCTTACTGGTGTCATGCATGATGTCTTGAAGAGATTTCTCCACTTTATCAATATCAACATTCAAAAGGTTTGCCAGCCGCTTCATCACTTCCGGAAAGGTTTTATCCAAAGCATCCACGAGCGCTGAAGACTGGCGACAAGCGAATAGGTAATGATGTAAAGCTTCTGGAAACTGGGTTTCTGTACTCCGGTTCATCATCGTAAGCATAAGTTGATGCGCCTGCTGCTCACCAGTCGACGTTAGCCCCATTAACTTAGCCGCTGTGAGAGATGCGCCAGGGTAGTATGAAATCTTGTCTAAATAGTCCCGAAAAAACGCGGAAAGAAGCTCGTTTTTATCGCTCCTACCATGCTGCATTGCAAGTATAAGCATCCAGTTGCTCAATATCACGTTGCCGGCATCGCGCATCCCACCGCAGTCTTTTTCAAATGTCTGAAACGAGAGTTCATACGCTTTCAATGCTCGAGTGAAGGCTCCTTTATCAATATCACCGTCGCGTCCACGTAAAAACTCGGCAGTATACGACAATCCTTTCATTGGAATGCCTTCATTGCTGCTAGCTGCTACCCAATGCTCAATCAGTCCAGGCAGTTCCTTGAAGAGCAGTATATGCGCGAAAACCAAAGAAAACACTATCAACTCATCACCACGTAATCGATCACGCACCATACTACACCACGAAAACTCCGGAGATTCGTTGCCAAGCTGCAGCAACGCTGACAAAAGCTCGAGCACTCGACTTGTCGCCCCAGCATGCCACAGCTTGATACAAAGATGATAACATATCGCCGTCAATAGAATGGACACCTCCTTAGTTGTAGTTGGTGTCTTTGATCCATCTTCAGCTGAGTTCGTTCGCGCAATATGCTCCAGAAGCCGCCAGTAAATCCCCTCTGCCATGCCCACCGACTCGAAGTCGTAAGTCGAAATATAACGAAGCCACAACGCATGCGAATTCGGCAGAAATTGGACGCCTTGCTCCACCATGTCGATTTCCGTCTGCCGATTGGTCACTTGTCTGCATAGACGAAGATATAGCAGCCAGAGTGCTTCACAATACGCATTTTCTTCAACTTCTAAGGCTCGAGACAGTGTATGCAAACACCGTTTTAAGTTTGCTTCATCCGCAGCCAAAGTTCGAGAGACGCCACTGCGTTGGTTCAAATTAAGCTCCTTGCACAGGAAAAGAAGCTGTTGCTGCAAGAGATCGTCATCCGATAAATTCACAGCCTCATCACTAGTACCAAACAACCGCGATTTCATGTCAGTGCAACGATTCTAGCTCTCCGATATCAAAACGTACCCCATTCCAACGTCAAGGCCAAGCTGAAAAATAGCGAGAAGAAGCCATGCATCAGTGGCACTGGGGGTTTTCTCCACTTTTGCTTGCAGCATTTCACCATAGACCTTTCGGGAGTCAATATCGTCAAAGTAACGAGCGTCACCAATGTCAGGAAGCTCTTGTCGACTGTCAAGAACGATGAAGTCGTCATTGCTTTCTTTGGGTTTTTCCTCCGCATCTTGTACGACGGGCGAGACTGCGTCAGCTCTGCTTGATGAAGGCACATCTGCTGCGTCGTTACTCTTTCTTCCTGTCTACATCCCGAGATACCATCAGCAAAATAGAATTTATCAAAGTAAAAGTACTTACTGTTGCAGATGCCGTAGTACTAGTGATAACGGGCCATTTTGGCATAATTCGTGCACGAAACTCAGCAAACGACACCAGCAACTGATCCATCTCGTCCAATTTCTCCATAGTAGCCCCAACATCATCCGCATCTTCACCAGAGCAGTCGCTGAGATTGCTTTTCTCGTTCACAACTGACTCGTAATCTTTCTGGTGATAGTTGGAGCAGTTCTTGTCGTTGCAAACGCCATTTAGCTCATAGTGGCACAGCACTCTGGAATAAAATAATAAGGCAGCGACGTTAGAATGCTCTCAAAACAAAAGCGTAAGCAGCATCACCAAGGCTTCCGTACTTCATAGGATCGATCTTTTTCGAACCAGTAGACTTCAGCGCACCTCCCCTCAGCTGTCTAACAACTGAATCGTGTGTCACAGAAAACGGCTTAGCGTATTTCGAAGAGAAAAAAATCTCTCGAGCTCCACGAGATCCACCCTGTCTATCGAATCTTGGCGACAAACTGCAGGGCGGCTCGCTCATTTCGGCTTGCTCGCGAAGCCACGTCTCCATGTTGCCAAAAACGCCGGCTATTTGTCCGTGTGATCGATATGAAATCCTTAAATTGTTGCTGGTTGCCATTTTCACCAAATTGACCCCGACACAGGCGGAAAGAACACCAGAAAGAGTAGGTGCTGTTGTGCCATCAGGTAGCAGGTTCGCCAAAAAGAACCTTTGTCGGCGCCTCCTGATAAGTGCTGCGCTCTTGTCTGCACTATCTGCCATTCGCAACGAGTCACAAACTGATGTCACCACATCCTTCTCGAGTTCAATTAACGCCTGGATTCGACCAGCATCCGAAGAGATGAATGTTGGCGTCTTCAAAAATCGACGCCCCGGCTGCCAGCACACAGACCTCCGTGCTGGGTTCCACGGTTGAATATTTTTCGCCGTGTCACCAACAACCAAATTGGGTAGAGAGTGCTCCACCAAAGACCACTCTACAACTTCCTCCAGGACCTTGCCTGTATAAGTCTTAAATGCCTGCTCCAGGTTTTCTCTCGGTATTATCTGCTCAAGTGTAGCATTCCCCAGCAAAATAATTAACCGCCAAAGAAGCATAGTACTCGCCGAATAAACTTAAATACCTTTCCCGTTTGTGTAAGATAGCGTGTAGCAATGCGAAGGCATGCAGCCGTGGCCAACTCCGTCGTTCCCACATCCAACGCTGGAGCAGAAGCAACTGCATCACACCAACAAAATTGCAAGAATAAGTAATTTGTCAGGCCTTGTATCCCGTTAGAGCTCAACAAAAGAGAAAACCATTCGAATTTCTCACAGGTATGCATCTCCGGAGCAGCAATTGCTGCTTTCACTTCATTCTTGCTGCCCACGTCAACTTTCTTTCTTGGATGCGGGTCCTCTTCTTTCACTTCTCGCTTGCGCTTTGACTGTAGCAGCTTCAGGCTCCTGGCCAACACAATCGCAGCCGCCTGCTGCTTCTACAGTCATACCAGCGTAGAATATTCGTTTAAACTTAAAATTATACCCAAAACCTTGGTGAAACATGCCAACGGACCTCATGAGCCGCCTCCGCGTGCGCCTGCAGCGCCTTGAGCTCCTTTTTCCGCGTCGCTGCCATCGCTGCTGCCTTTGGCGCTACTGTTTCCTTTTGCTTAGCCAGTTCTGCCTCCTGCTTCGCCTTCTGGGGCTCAATACGTTCGATGCTCAAAGTACCGGGGTCTTGACGCTGAAGCAGCTGAAGCAGCTTTTCCTTGCGCTTCAGTGTCTCGTCTCGCTTATAAATCCAGCGCTTCCGCTCCTCAGTTACTTTGTGGAGACGTTCGACCGCCTTCTGAACCGCCTCGCGGGACAGAGAAGTCTCTGTAGCCGACGCAGGAGTACCCATTTCGTGCACCTCCATTTCCATGGGCGAATGCGGAATCCGATGTAAGATTTGTGTGGTGGACACAATTGATGCTTTGTACATCGCTTCGCGGAGCCAATCAGCAACTGCAACCTTTCGTGACACGAAGATCGCACAAAACACTATTGAGAGAGCGTCATGTCGGGCGTACACGTCGTGGCGGAAGGAAACCCGCGCAAGGGTGCGATGGATGTGGATGAGAGGGAGCAGTGCATCCACGGTAACGCTATAATGGAGAGTGGCTAGTCTTTGGAATCTGACTGGTGTCGGTGGACAGACATTGTGAGCTGGTTCCAGCGCAAAGCAAATCTCGAGTCCGCGGCGGAGAAGAACGCTGGTGTGGAAGTAGACGGATATGTATTGATCAAAACTGATGACTGACTTGCATTGGTGAATAGATATTGAAGCGTTGGAGAAGACGCTGGGCGGGGAGATCCCCGAGGTTTGTCGTCTGAATTAGCTGAGCGTGAGTGATCACGTATTGCTCACTCCCAGCAATCTGTCTAGGAGTTGCGCAGTCTACTAATGACGCAGAGCGGTGGTATCTGGTTCGACGACTACAAGGTTGGACATTTGCTGTCGTTTTATTAGGCTAGAGCTGACCTCTTATGTTGTGTGAGTAGTCGCTGTCTGCAGACGTACGGACAAAGCTGCTGTGATTCGTCTTTGATATTTCACCAACACACATCTGTAGGAAATCATTAACAAGGCGGAGGCGCTCGCGTCTATCAAGGGCTGGGACTCTTCGCTGATCCCGTTCGCAGCAAATGTGGACGGCGGAGCTCTTGTTACGGATACCGGTTCAAGGAACGCAGTGTTCGAGTTTAGTGAGGACGGAAAAGGAGATCGGCCTCTTGCATCTTCGCTCCTCGAATATCTTGAAAAGTACCGAAATCGCCTTCTGTCCGGTAAGTTCGACTTCGTCGAAGATGTTGGACTGGTCGAGCGCTCGCGAAAGTAGCACAACTGCGGAGGACGAATTTCACAATACGAGATGCAACAGCCATTCATACCTTTCATCTGAGTTCTAGGCGGACGCGTTCCGATAAGTAATTAACACCTCCATTCATGCATTGCGCATTGAAATAATGACAGTTTATTCAACGATATCACTTGTTATGTCCTGTCGGTACTCCTAATATGCATGCGCTTCATGCCGCCACTAGTGGCTTCCATATCTGGGGCGTGTGCGTTGTCTTTTCGATCATCAATATCCTTCAGAAGTCGATAGTGACGGCGACGAAGGAACCAACCAAACATCGATACGAAAAAGGCAAGCACGAGCATGGTTCCAATGAGTCCAGCGACAGAAATGTCTTCGGCACCGCCTGCCACAGTTTGATCTGCAATTGAAAAACTAAGCTTTGCACCATTCGCTTCAATACGTCGTGCGAACGTTCCCATAGATCGTAATGTGCTCGTCTCGTTCCTTAGCTGATTTTGCAGGTTTTCGACGATGTCGTTAAGGGACTTCTCCCCGACACGAGACGCTGGCAGGATCTGGAAAAAGACTACAATGCTGCCGTGCTCGAGTGCTGTGATTTCTAATCGCGAGTGTGCAATTTGCAGTGCAGACGCCACCTCTGTGGTGAAAGCATGCTCAAATGCTTCTCGTGCTGTGGGCGAGAAAAGTACTTCCTCATAACTCATTTCAACCTCGTACTGCACGACAACGCGCTTCGAACCACACTCAATTCCGTTGCAAATGTCGGTGATCGACGGCTTCGGATCCGTACAGAAGTCTTCCGACGGTGCGTTTTGGTTAGTACCAGTATCGTAGCACACAGCCCCACGTGACCGCCTTCCGCCTCCGCAACCACTATCGCACTCGCTCCATTCTGTGACTTGCCATACATACTGAGCCGACTCATCGTTACTTTTGGCGCTGCAGTCAGGAGGGCTATAGCCTGGACGACAGATACACACAGCGTCCAACGAGTACTCGTCAATGGCAGTACTGCTGTCTTTCCTAGTCAATAGACGTGTTTGCCGGTTTTTCTCCAATTTCCCAGGTTTATCGTTATGGTAGTTCGGGAAGCAGGTGCCATGACCTGAACATGAGAGTCTCTCACAGAGATCAGGAGGATGAAGCGGGCTCACTGCAAGAGACTTAGCCGACCATACTGAATAGCCATTCACATTTTGAGCACGAACCTTGAACGTGTAGGAGCGGCCATTTACCAGTGGCTCCACGACAGTAGATGCTGGCACCGATACCGCTAGAGCAGTCGAAGCACTCGCATTTGCTCCAACATGACCAACTAAATTCACTGAAGATGACGCAACTCTCTGAGTACCAATCAACACGTTGTCTTCCTCATCAAACCATCCCACTTCGTATGCCACAATAGGATCCAATCCGTCATCGTCTGGGGCCTTCCACGTCACTGCAGCACGGCCGTCAAAAGCCACAGCATTTACAAGGCTGGGGTTCGATGGGACGCCATGCAGCTCCTCCACTGGTTCCATCGATCGCGAAGCGTCCCCATTCGATCCTGAAACACCATGAGAAATTGAATTATTGGCTGAAACCTTCTTTGTCTTAGATCCACTAGACGGTACGGCCGACGTTGCCTCCATCTCTTTCAGCACTAGCAAAGGAGCTGTCACCACAGGAGAGACAATGATCCCCAGGTCTCCACTCCCTTCACTCGATGTTGCTTCAGTTCTCACCACCACGTCGCCACTCCCAGTCTTTGAGTCATTGGGGAAGCGAATCTCCTCCGTGTCTGGTGCTACTGTCTGCCATTGACTCCCGGATCCATTACCGACGAGCAAGAATTCAACGTTATCGCTTCCGCTGCCACTCGTGCTTGAGTTCTGCCGTGTTGCGGCGGCTTCAACGCTGCACAGCAACGATAGCGCGACGAAGACCTGCCGACTTCGAGCACCGTTGAGCTTCATCAGAATTGATGGAAAGTGGGAGATGACGCACGAAATTGCGTCCTGACTTCTGATTGGCTGGAGAGAGAAGTTGAAGTCGTTTTTTTATCCTGTTATGCCACGCTCGACGAGGAACTTCATCTAACGTAATGAACGGACCAAAACGATTTCTTATTATTCGTTCTACGGTGCTGAGGCTTGGAAGGCAACGCGCATCACTTTGTTGTCGTAGCCCTCGGTCGTATGTCCTCCAAACACGTACATCGCGTCATTGTAAACGACCGCCCTGTGCCAGGCACGAGGGATTAACGGGGGATCACACTTGACAAGCTTCCAGGTAGCGACGTCTTCATCTGGCCAAAACAACAACTTCGTAAACAGAAAATCATTCTACAATTTCTCCGGGACACAACGTACCGGATCCGAGGTCCAACACGTACGCGTCGCCCTTCAAGCATCCAGTGTTGCCACCATACACTACTAGCTGGGAGCCGATGCAGGCACTCGAGTGCGTATAGCGTGACGCAGGTCCGTGTCCTTGGGTGGCAACTTTGCGCCACACGCAGTCGATACATTCGTTTGACACGCGTTCTAAGAACACATATACGAGGTAGGTTCACGATTTGCCACGAACGCAACACATCACGCAGAAACGCACCGATTTCAAAAGCAAAAAGTTGACCGCGACGGTATTTACCGTCATATCCTCCAAAAATGTACATGCGGTCTTTGACAACACACACGGAATGTGTCGATGACGGTCCAGGGATGTCACCGCGAGGATGAAGCTCCATCCATGTTGGAATCTCAGTATCTGCTTGCAAGTACCACCAATATCAAGAGTTAGACAGGCAGTATCAACGATTACTAACCAAATACAAGACGCACCAAATCGAAGTGCAAACGTATCACTGAGTCGCTGCGGATGACCATAGCCTCCGTACAAAATTGCCATGCCATGCAATACTGTGAGCGAGTACCAGTATCGCATTGACGGTGGTTTTCCGGCAACTTCTAGTTTCTCCCACTTCCATTCTCCGGACTCTGCACCAGGAAAACAATTCAAGCAACAAATTGGGTTAGTTATTAATGCTGCATCAGGTGAAGTATACATGTAATAAAAACGTACCGAGGTTGAGTCGATGAAGCTCTGTGAGAAACTTGCCGTCAATGGTTCCCCCAATCGCATATAAATCATCTCCAATGATGAATACCTGGAGAAGATTACCTGGTTGCGGTGGTGTACCGCTAATCGGCGGTTTAATCCAGCGAGGCGACGGCTGTGCTGCGAGATCCAACATATGCAGATCGTTCAACCGGAGCTTGCCGACGATGCCACCAACCACAATCAGGAAGCTCCCATATATCGCGAGTCCGCAGTCATATCGCTGATCCGGCGGAACGCCCTCTGATTTCACCGTTTCCCATTCCATTTGAGCGAGTGCAAACTCCTCGCGCTTAATCTTCCGCGATCTGGCTTTCCTCTTACCCACTTGGCTTGCTGGAGGTCGAGTAACGGTGGGCGCCGACTTGACTATTGACTCCGTGGCCGACGACGACTGACCCACTGAGGCACTACTCATCTTTCGCAGCGATACTCTTGAGTGCCTTACTGGCCCTGGGACAAAACTACCGCTAAGAGAGGTCCTTGCTGCAACCGGAGGTGAAGGACGTTCACTGTCGGAAGAAACTAGGTCATCAAGATCGATCACGTCGTCCAAATCACTAAGGTTGTCCAGCTGCAGAGGAATATCGCTGGGGTTCGGCAGGAACTCATGGTGCGTTCTATTCGCGTCGTAGCCCGTAGACGCGATGGTGCTAATAGTATTGCTGCCGCCGCTGCTGTAATGCAGATCGTCTCTCTGAACGATGGAGCCATGATAATGCCCCGACAGCATACCCGATGAAGAGACCTGCCATAAGGTGGAAACAGGACAACTCATCAGTATCACTGTAAGCACAACACACAAACGAATCGACGGAACCTACTGGAATGTGGAGATCTTGTCCTGCTGCAGCGTAGGAGTATCCCATCGAGCGTGTCTCCGTTTCCGGTGCGCTACTCTTACCAGCTTTAAAAAATTGCTGCGCTTGACACAGTGGGCAGACGCCAAACGATGAAAGTGATTGCTGCATGCAGGACCAGCACAGCACATGGCCACAGTCCTGACGGACGGGAAATTGCGTCGCTCGAAGACAAATTGGACACGCTATACTTTGGGGAACGGGCGCGAGCTGCAGATGGAAGTTATACGCTGTTTCCAGTCCGTCCCACGTACTATCGTCAATTGGAAAGTGCCCCGACGCAAAGAATTCCTCGTCCCCGTTAACTTCCGCTGTCTTTTCTTCCTTGTCGTCTGTAGGGCGTCGCGCATCTTCTCGGTCTCCGACCGAAGCCTCTCTGCCGAAATAACCATTTGGCGGCACATTGCTGTCCCCCACAGAGGACGGAGTTGTGTTCGTAGTCGTCAAGCGCCTCATGTTGAGCCAGTGGAGGGCCAACCGAGCACCACCGGCCCTCAGGCGCGGGAGAATTCCAAGCGCCGCCTGGCCCTCGGCGTGCGTGCTGTGCGAAGACAGAACCGAGATTCCTGAGCTGTCTCTTACTGGTCCGTGATTGGTTGAAAAAAGGTCGGACTAAGAAAAATGTATCCATTTCTGCAATCGATTGAACACGGTATTTCTAAATTAAAACACGCGATTTCTAAACTTCGTGTCAGAAACGACAAAAGTTGAAGCGCACCAAAGGCCTCTAGCTGATATTACAATACAAGATGACTATAGTACATTACACTAAACTAACTTGTCAGCTAGATAGTTAGCAGTTGCATACAATCTTCTACCTTCCTAACAATAATTTTGTCATTCTTATCATTCATTAGAGCGATTCTCGCTTTATCTGTACAAATGGGGTCGCAACGAAAATGGTTCGTACATGTACATGATATGACCATAATGTAGGCGCTCTTAAATTGCGTTGAGCCCGAGCTGAAACTGCCTTACCAGCCAAGTCCTCAGAAAGGGCAGCAGCTAGATTTTCGTCGCAAACAATGAATTGGTGAACACGAGTGTCGCATTGATGAAGGGTACATCCCTCGCCCAGAAATAGAGTGATTTCCTCTGCATCTTGTATAGCACATGTAACTCGCATGGGGG